GTACACGCCGTACAACGCGTTTGTAATCGACAGGAGTAAATTTGGACTTGGGAACAAATCGACCTACGAACAGACCTCTGGACCCTAACTCGTTCATAAGTAGAGGAATCCCAGTATCAGCAGTTCCCGAAGAACTGCATTCCGGCTCTCTTTCTTGCCTTAAGTGGCCGTCAAAGAAACTTAAAGAAAATGTGACACGGGCAATTGACCAGGCCGGGCAGCAGCAGCAGTGATGCCGAGCTGGGTAACTACTGGATCGGGTCCGTCGTCATTGGGGCTCATCAGCACAGTAGAGTCTGCTGCAAAGTGTCCTGGAAATCCAAATATGTGGAGTGGACACTTCCACGCTCTGTGGGGGGGCGGGGGGGGGGGGCTCCCGTGCAGCGCGTGGCTAACGCCACCACTAACAGTCGCCTCTGTAACTGACCGCACAACCCACCAGCAGCACCCCATCATCATCTTCATCACAACCACAGCAGCAGCAGACGACTCGAACGGGCTTCGCTCTCTGATAACTTACTCAGTCACTGCTGCCCTCTGCTGGGGATTAAGAGCGGTATCCAATTTCGGTCAGGTCACGGGAGATGTGGCTTTTGATCTCGGGGTTAATTTAAATTGCACAGTAGGTCCTCATTAAGACCACACGTTTATTTCGCCGATCTGTTGTGCAAATGAATGAATGCGCGCGCGTGTGTATGTATCTTCATTTGTGTGCGCCGAACTCCGACATTTCAGGAGATTCATTCCCACCGCCTTTCCAGTCCTCCAGGGTCGATAAAATAACGATCACTTTGTGGGGGACGTTGTAAGGGAACGCGCCCGCCAGAGGAACGTGGAATTTCCACCATCGGCTCAGGGCTGTGAAACCGGCCACGAGCACTGCCGCTCACCTGAGCAGCAAATCACTTTGACCTCGACTTGACCTGTATAAAAAAACAAAATCACGGGACGTGCCTTGTGAACGCGTCTGATGCACCAGTGCCCCGTCGCCCCCTGGAGTGGCTGCACGCCGGCTCCCGGGGGAGACGAAGCCCGTGGGGCACCGTGACCCCTCCGGAGCCCGTGGCCTCTGCGGACCCAGCGATACTCCGGTAGTGCTCTCCGAGATCCGCAGTGCCTTCGGAGCCGGGCCCACCCTCGGGGGAAACCCCTGGCCTGGCCAGCCGGTGAGGGGCGGTGTTCACTTTGTTGTGTTCGCCGTTCGGTGTTTGCGGTCACTTTGCCACGACGGCGACGTTGTCCGCGCGCCGGGCTCGCGATCGGTGCGATCTCTGGGGAGCGCGGCAGTCGAAACGTGACGGGGCAGGTCGCGTGCGGCGGGGTAAGGCGTGGGTAACTGCCACCTCTCCCCGAGTCGTTTTGGCCAGCGTGGAAGAGTAGGCCAAAAAAATATATACCCCCCCATCAAGAGGGGGGCCAGCCGGTCACTCTTGCCGTGCGCATCTCATTCCGCAGCGCCGAGGGCCGGGCCAGCCGGGCGGCCCGGTGCGATTGTTTCGCACCCCGGCGCCGGAGCTCTTCTCTGCCGTGCAGCACAGCGAGCTCCGCGGCGACTCCCTGCCGCGTCTCGCCACCATCGTCCGGCTCCGCCAGCACGTCCACCAGCAGCAGCAAGTGCAGCAGCAGCAGCAAGTGCAGCAGCAGCCGATGCAGCAAGAGGAGTCTGCCTGCGTGCTTCTCAAGGAGTCTCAGATTCCAGCTGGGCTCTGCAGGACTCTCACGGATTCCTCCGTCACCTCCACCACCACCTCCACCACCGTCTCTTCCTCCTCCTCCACCACCACCTCCACCACCGTCTCTTCCTCCTCCTCCACCACCGTCTCCTCCACCTACTCGCGCTCCTCCCGCTGGTCCTCATTTGCCTCCCCGAGGACGGCGGCTGCTACCGTGTTCGCTCGGAGGAGCCACGCGAACGCACGCGAGAGGCTCCGGGTGAGAGGCCACGATCCCCTTTGGTTGACTCAGACTAAAATCAAACTTGGGGGAGGGGAAGGGTGATATGGCCCAGCGGGTGGCACGTTCGAGATTCTCGGTTCGGATCTGGCAGGCCACCCCAGCGATTACTGCGGCGACGTCGCGTGAAACGAGTAGGCCATTGTGGTTCCGGGCGTAGCCCAAATTGGCGAAATTTGAAACACTGACGCTGTACCCATCTCAATTGGGATTGCACTTAGCAGCGACAGTCTCCTTCCCACTGGCCCGACTGCAGGCCAGACAGGTGTCACGTGGTGCTGCACGATAGCTGCCACTGGGGGAGGTGGCGGGTTCCCTTCCAAATGTCTGAGGTGTAAAATGTAAAGTCGCTTATCGTCACGTGAAGCGATGGCCAGCGACCAAGGACGCTGCGTAAAACAAATAATTATTGAACTTAAAACTCGGATCCGTCCATGCGTCCATCCTCCCACGTGTCCGTTTCTCTACCCGTACATCCACGCGTCCCTTTAATCTGTCCACGAGCGGGTGCTTTGAGCAACTTCGCGTTATTGTGACCTGCAGCGTGGTTGTTGAACGCAGTACGGGGTGACACGAGACGGTTAAGTCTGGTAGAGCCGAGTCCATGGGTGACAGAATGAGTGAAATTCACGGGAACAAAAACCATGCTGGTAGCGAAAGAAGAGCGATCAGGAGGCGCTTGATCACCAGTGAGTGACTCGAGTGAATCGCCGATTACTGGATCAATTGCCCTCATTGCCGCTTCACTCTGAGCGCTATCGAGCACAGCGGCGAGGTCGGGACTGTGCTCCATCCCTGGCTTGAACGCATGTCCGTATGTGTCCGTCCGTGCATGTCCGTGCCCTCAGGTGCGTAACCTGAACCGCATGTTCCTGCTCCTGCGTCACCTGGTGCCGCTGGACTGCGCGCACCACCGGCCGTCGCGTGTGACAACGCTGCGCGCGACGCTCCGCTACATCCGCCTGCTGCAGGCCGTGCTGGCGGAGACCCCCACGGCATGCAGCTCCTCCCCGCGCGGCGTGTGACATGGGAGGGGGGCGGGCAGCGGTGGTTAACCGACCTCGAAATGCGTGGGTGTGTTTGGTGAAGGGTATGGCGTACGCACCCACCAACCCAGCCAGGTGCGCGTGAGTACGATGCCAGCCGTGCTAATTGGAGATGCGGGAGTAGGGGTGGGGGGGGGGAAGGACAAAAAAGTTCTAAATAAATTAGTTTTCAATTTAGATGATCATTTTAAAGTGCATAGCTCCCGTGGGAAGTGTTCCAGACGGCTGCAGAAACGCATCTGAAAGAGCGCGATGCGGTGACGAGTCTTTGTTCGATGGCGAGCCAGAAGCTGCTGCGAGGATGACCTAGAGTTTGCGTGGTGCGGTTGCCCTTCCACGCGCGTGTCGCTTGCAACGGGTGTGGGGCAAGAAGGTGCGTGCCAGGTCATGAGGTCGTGACGGCCAATGCCAATCGTGCCACCGCACCCTCGCCATTGCCTCCTTCCCTCTGCCGGATCCGACAGCCGTTGGTTCCGCAGTCGACACGTCCATGCGATAACATCAAAGTGACTGCCTTTCTCTCAAACGATGGCTGTCGGATGTGAAACACGAGCCGCGTGGACAGACATAAACTTATCGATCTCCGTTAAGCAATACAAAAAAATAATCAAACCATATGCAAAAACGTTGCCAAGCCTTTATTTTGTATATCCAGCACGATGACGTGTGCACGCATGTGTACATCTACTGCCCTACTCGCCGGGTGGGTAGGAGTTGGTCGGAATGCTCAAACCCTTGCGCTCGTTCTGAGCTCCCGAGCCTATCATTAAGTGGCGTGGGCACGCTGCCCCTGTTGTGCTTTGCTTGTTAGCTCCGGCACCGTCGCGATACGTTTGGACTTGAGTGCACAACACTGTCCTATAGTTTGTTATACTGGTAGAAACCTCCTGGTTACCAGCCCACAGAGGATTATTGTGTCCGTCCGTCAGTCGTGCATCCAAAAATGGGTGGGGAGGGGCTGGGTGGGGAGGGGCTGGGTGGGGAGGGGCTGGTCACCCCGTGGTGCCCTTATAAAACTCAACGTTTAACCTACTCACGCCGGCTTGTGCCCGCCCTCAGTCGGGCATATTTGCGGAATACACCACGCCGCCGTTGACCCTGGCCATTGACCGAGCAACCCAACGTTCCTACCAGCTCCCTCCAGGAATGTGTTTTAAGTTGCGTTCCTTAAATTTATTCGAGTAAGCCTCGATTTTTTTTCTTCCCCAATCATTGGTGTGGTTTCAACACTATTCTCAAATTTGCGTGGCGTCTGGTTTTGTGCGGATGCGTGAAGACATCGACTTAATCCACATCAGCTCAAGTTTCTACAACCGTATAATTTGTCGTGTAACTTCGACCTGCCTCATTTGCATTCTGTAATGTTCCAGTCGCACATTTGTTATTGTGCAATTTGTCCGAATCGTAAATAAACGGATGCGCATATCACGCGCCATAAGAATCGACGTAACAAATTCGAGCGTGACGTGCCTCTTACTCATCAACCACCGCCTCAATACACAACATTTGCACACTTTTTTTTAAACAATTGCTTTAAAGTTTGTTTATTTTGTTGTGTGTGTGTATAATCACAAGACCGCGATTCACATTCCTCGCTTGAACCATTTAAATTGCACACGCAAATCGATAAATTAACACGTGGAATTAGTTAACTTTAAAGTTTACATTTGAGAGATCTGATTCGCAAAACAAGTCGAAGCGTCTTCCGCTCAGAGCCACAACGGAGCGAGTGCCCCCCAACCCCCCCCCCCAAACCCACCGAGCCAATGGTTGGAAATTCCATATTTCCATGCCAGGGACCAATCCACTCAAAAGGACGACGCCCAGTCGACTCGTTTAATTGCCTCCACAGAGCAATAAACGAAACGTCCAAGAGACTCTGGGATAAATGTTCCAGAGGTTCGCGGTCCCAATCCAGAAGGCCGCCCTGGTTGACTGCAGCTGGATTGATTGTAAGGGGCACAAAATCGAATTCACACGATGGATGGCCAGTGCCACGCATCAGATCATCCTATTTTATTTTGTATTACTCAAATCGAATCGACAGCAACATCACCCTTTAACGGTTAAAAACTACCGCAGACTAAAGGCGTTCAACATAGCACTTCCCTTCATGATAGCCTTGTTAGAATGGCGCGAATACCAAAGGTACTAAATTATATTACTAGCACATTACACCTAAGTGAGATAACTGTCATCCCCCCCCAACCACCACCCTTACTTAAAAACAAACGCCTATTGATGCTCGTTCTTCAATTAACAAGGGAGCTGAGAAGGATGTTGTGGCCTTTAAGACAATTGATTGACTTCCTTTCTATGCATTCATTAATAAGTAACGCACAGCACTTACAAACCAGTCCTGGCAATTAAATTTCCAAATTGCAAAAAGCGAAAGAAAATCATTGGAGCAAATTGCAAAGTCTACAGTGCAGCTTATTTAAGAGTCCTTGGGCTAAGGTATATTGGCTACAGCTTACTCCAAGAGACTCATTCATAGTAACTCGTGAAATTAATAAAGTTTTTTTATGACACGGTGCCGGATGAAATTGCCACATGACCAGTTGTGTAATGATACGGACTACTAAAGTTGAAATCCTGCTGTGCAGACTTCAGGCAAGCCTTTGCCAGAACTCAACCGCAGTCGTTCTGCCATTAGGAAATGTGGAATTTCCACCAAATGGTCCAGCAGAGCTGAGAACAGCATCACGGTTGATTAAGCAGAAATGCGCTTTTTAGCCGGGGCACCGTCGCTTCCAAAGGGACAATTGGACAACGGAGTCAGGAATAAGGAAGGAACGACAGCCAATGGAGGAGTGAGCGTGCAACCGCAGTCGTTCTGCCATTAGGAAATGTGGAATTTCCACCAAATTGTCCAGCAGAGCTGAGAACAGCATCACGGTTGATTAAGCAGGGATGCGCTTTTTAGCCGGGGCACCGTCGCTTCCAAAGGGACAATTAGCCAACGGAGTCGGGAATAAGGAAGGAACGACAGCCAATGGAGGAGTGAGCATGCGACGTACGCTGCAGAGACAGAGCTGTGAAACCAGCTCGTGTAGCAGGTGCTCGGTGAATTATTACACCGTGGGATTTGTGAGAGACGGCTACAGCTTGGGGAGTCCATCATCAAGCAGTAGTTCGATCATCGTGGACGATTAATATATGCGCATGACAATTAGCGTCACTTTTAACAGGTTTCACAGATTTGGTGCAATCACCTTTCAGACAATAAGTAAACAAATAACAATTAAATAACGGAGTGCACAAACAATGAATTATAACCAAGACAGTGCACCAGTGTGGTGCCTTGCCTTTTGAATACTCAAATACTAACATATACAATGTTCAGTCCCACACAAGTAGGTATTGAAATCTTCGCCTAAGACAAACTCGTTAAGCAAATTAGAAGAGCAAATGTGTTTTACAAGCGTCAACGTGAGACCATTAAGTGTGTCAGTGTGCCTCTGTGTGTCTGTCTCTAGGTATGTCTTTAATTGTCCGTGTGTGTGCATGTGGGTCTGTGTGTGTCGGTGTATATGTCTTTGTGTCCGTCTGTGTATGGATGTCTAGGAAGTGGTTCTCTGGTACCTTTCGCCAAGCAGTGGATAGAGAACGGCACTTAATTGCGAACAAAACGTGTTCAACTCTAAATGCCATCAGCGGACTATAAAACACCGACTGGTGCGCGTGGAGAGTTTGTGTGTGTATTATTCATCCTGCTTCTACATTACGGTTTATAATGTAACCAATCATTGATCTGAGGCCATTAAAATGAGGACCACTTTGTGAGAAGTCAATGTGGATTTCCCTAGAGGGTCTGGGTCCCCTGCCATGAAAATAAGGAATTTTCATCACCGGCTCAGAGCCACCAACGGAGAGATGCCCGCTGGACAATCCTCATTCAAGATAAGAAATAATGTTGTACACGTGCAGCCCTGCTTGTCAATCGACTGCTGACTGAGGGCATCCCCACACCGTTCCGGCCATACTTCACCACAATGTGAAGAATGGCTCGGTGATGAAAGGGTTCATAGATGTGAGAGTACGGTACAATGGATTTGTTGCTGCACTCCCCTCTGCTGCTTACAACGTAATCCTGGGATAAATAAAAGTACAGAGACTCCTCTACTTCCAAACAGTCAACTTATGAACTTTCAAAGACACGAACAAACCTGTCCATATCTCCAGTTGCCTGTTCGGACAGAGATTCGTAAGTTCAACCTCTGCACAATAGATGGCGGTGCTGGCATCTACATCTGAAAGAACATGAAGAACTAGTAGCATCTACAGGAGATTTACAACAATTAAAGCCATTTCCCGTGTTTAGTTTACACGCCGTACAACATGTTTGGAATCGACAGGAGTAAAGTTGGACTTACGAACAAATCGACTTACGAACAGACCTCTGGAACCTAACTCGTTTGTAAGTAGAGGAGTCCCTGTAAAATGGAGCACTGCGCATCTCTGATGGATGCACCCGATTGAGGTGGCAGGAATTCCACATTTGCATGGCTGGGGCACAGTCCACTGTCTCCAGAAGGATGACAAAGCTGTAAGGGAGGAGGAAAATGTTTGGCGGTTGTGGCGGTGCACAAATCCATTCGCTCCTACACTTGCCCCCCCCCCACACCAACCGTGCCCTCCCCAGTGGCTTTAACCCCTTTGGCAGACATTAAAGATGCCCGGCCAACTGCTGCAAAGTACATCACACAGTGGGCGCACGGCAACATGGCAGCACACCTGCATTAATGGGGCCCATGCCATTTCGACGAGCGCGTGAGCTTTGAAGTTGAAATACAGCTTTGAAGTTGCCAAACCCTTTGAAGCGTGATGTTGCTCCGCATTTTGAGTATAAAGCTTTGGGATTTGTGAACTGACGAGACTGTATAATCTCCTGAACGAGATATCAAAAGCGCCCTACATAACTCTGGCTGCACAAATCGGTGCTAAATAAGCAGACCTTGGGGTTGCAAGGTTTCCCACTGACCAAGGGACGCAATTAAAGCAGGAGTAATATTAGTTATTCTTTGAGACGGCGAACAAGTTGGGTTTTTGCGTTTGAAGAGACGGCAGCTGCATGAAGAGAATGCTAGAATTTTTAAGGCAGGTTAGGGTAAGCTACTTGTTAGTCCCCAAATAGAACGAGGAAGATGAGGACGTGGTAAGAAATGGGTGGGACATGTGCAGAGGATGGAAGAGGGCAAGTTAACGTGAGTGACATTGTAGTGGCACTCACAGAATACCTACGAGAAGAGAATACCTAATACAACCGCGTCTCAAGATGCTGTACTGAAACATTCAACATTTATTTTATAGAGAGAAGCAGACAGCCATCGGCAGATTCTGTCTATACGGTTATTAGATGTATCAGCCAGTCACTCTCCTGCAGCTGTATCTGCTGCATGTACTCAATCAACCTTCGCTCGCCGTGTGTTTTAATCGCTTGCTGCTGCTGCCGCCACCGGCATCGTCACCGCCGTCACCGTCGTCGCCACCGCCGCCGCCACCACCGCCGCCACCACCGCCGTCGTCACCGCCGCCGCCACCACCGCCGTCGTCACCGCCGCCACCTTAGCTGAGTAGATTGTGTCGGTCGAAGACGGTGCGCCGCTGCTCCTGCACTTGCCGCTTCCAGCGCTCCTGCGCTCCCTCCACACGCTCCAGCACGGTTCCGGCGCGACCCCGCGACCCCAAGCCCGCCGACATGCGGTCGTACGCAAACGAGCGCGGTTCCTGCTGTGTGGACACGGGAAAGGGGGAGGCAGAAATGGAGCAAGGAGGGAGAGAGAAGTGGTTAAAAGGAAGCAATCGCCCAAAAACAACAAATATTTGGCGAGAGGTGGCCGGGCGGCACCATCATCGAAGGGTTCTACGCCTGTCGTGTCGCACTATACTGATGCAACAGTTGCATGGGAAAACAATTTCAACAGAATTGGGGGAAAAAGGACGTTTTGAACAGCTGCACAAATATGACGAGGCGGTTGGTAACAGCTGTGTGGCAACAATGGGGTGCAAATGGGCGGTCGGTGAAGTGCGCCGTTTCCCCGCGTGGTGCGTGGTGGTGCCGTTGTAGTGGTCGTGTGGATAGGGTCACCTCGGTCTCCGTCTCGGCGTGCAGCGCCGGCGCGTGGGCATCCGACTTGCGGATAAGCGGGTCCACCAGCATGAGGAAGGCCATGTAGACCAGCAGGGCGCCCACAATGGTCAGGTAGATAATGATTGTGACCTGCACGTGCGTTTGTGTCAAAGACACACACGCGTATATATGGGGGTGGTGACATCGCCGCGTGTGGTGGCGCATTTGACACATTGCAGAAATTTGCACTGTGAACCCAGTGGTTACCCTGGTTAATGCTGCGCTTGTATTAACCACGAACAATTTCAGGCATCGTCTGCTTCGAAGTGGACGTTAAAGGTCCCCGTGATGTTATAAAAAATAATTAGGCCACGTGTGTTGGAGTCACAGTCGAACTATTTGAAAATAACTGCCAAGTGACCTAACATGGTAAAACCTCAAGAGAAATTGCCCCTTACTGTGAAATTACTTTAGACAATACTACTCATCTGTGCAACATAGCAACTCCATACCTGTCAACCCCTTATCAGTGCCTACCTTATTACAGACCAATTTAGACCTTATTGGTCACCCCGTGCCCTTATAAATCTCAACGTTCATCATACAAAGTCCCATCACAAGGGAGAAATACATAAAAATTGCCCCTATTGAAATGGCTGTACGCCATATGGACCTCAAAACTCAATTTCCATGGACAAGAATACGGATAAACCGTATACAACATACTCATGAACGTGTTTAAGAGATGCACACATGCAAAAGCACACATACACATACATTTTATACATACACATGCACTTCACACTGCCACACCAATTGCACACATCCGTTATACACACTGGCAATAAATAGAAATATGCTTTTTATAGCAATGTACACTGTAGAGGCAAGTGATGTTAGGGAACACATATTGGGGTCAAAATCGTACCCGGTACTCAATTAAGGATGAGTTTACTTTGGGGAGGCACAAGACCGGTTCAGATATTGGCCATAAGCAGAAATCGAACTCGGGTTGCCAGGTTCATAGTGCAGTGCGCTAACCGCTATAACAGGTGCACAAAGACAAAGATCCCCCATATAGCCTTAACAGACTGTTGGGGCAGCCAAGTGCTGTTAGCGAACACCTATGAAGGCCAGCAAGGTACACGAGGGTGTGGGTGGCCAACACCACGCCCGACAGGTGCACGCTCGTGCACACCCACACACGTGCAAGTGGTTAGCTCATGACTCCAGTAGGCTCAGCTGGCCGCACCTTGATAGTGACAGTGCTGCGCTCCTCGTACTTGCACTCGCAGCGCAGGCAGTATGCCTCCACATCGCTCCCCGGCACTGGCATGGGTTTCACCACATGCAGGCAGTCACTGCACACACGCGCGTGCAAAACAAACACGTGGACACACAGACACAATGCAGTTGTTAGCGAGCTACAGGCCAAAAATGATAACAATTTAACGGTTCTAAGAGTAAACATGCAAACATGCACTCTCATTCAGACACAGCTGCTTCAACAGGCAACAATCTCCAAGACACACGACAATATGGCGCCTATTCCAAATGAAAGATAATTGAAACACTTGCACAACATTTTCGACTCTTACAGCTAGTATATATTCTGTGTGAACTGGCTGTGTGCAGAATTGTATTACTTACATAATATATTCATGCTACCAAGGACCATTGCCTGAATGAAATGTTACCCATTATATATTTTTCCTTTCAAGGCTGTGTTATTGACGAAAGTAGATCTGTGGCATCTGCTTCCGTGGGCCGTTCTCCAACATGAAGGATGCACTGCTCTGGGAGAGATCCGAATGGATCATTTGTATCATGACATGACACCGACGGAACGGATTAATTGTATCATGACATGACACCGACGGTACAATCACAACATTACTTTGAAATTGCAAAATCAATACATCCCAGCGTAGAATCCCCCCTCTCTGAGTCTCAAGTCTTGAGACTCAGATAATTTTCTGGATAAAGAAATCATATTCAAAATCAAACTATGTATTATTGTATTCAGCTGCAGTGCAGTCAATCACTTTTGTCAGTCTGCGCGGTTCAACAGATCCGTGGAAATTTGCCACCAGTCTCACCAGTCTTTCTGCGGCACATTGTTGGTGTAGACCTTTCCCGCAAAGGCTTTGTACTGGGGACAGATGCACTTGCATCGCGCGTCTTCAGATTTCTGGGAGGAAAAGCATCGCAGGTCATGGCTCGCAAACCTCTGCTATCTCTCCACAACACCGACAATGTCATCCAGCAAAGCCGGCCATAACCTATCACCACACACCACCTTCTTGGTTCTTTCGGTAAAGTCACGTAGAAGGGAAGTAATAAAATAATAAAAATAAAACACAAAATAATTCTGCGTTGTGGCCGAAACGTCGTGAGAATTATTTTATTAGGTTTTATTATTATTATTTTATTACTTCCCTTCTACGTGACTTTACCGAAAGAACCAAGAAGATGAATCCCTGCAGTCACGAAAGCTTTAAATCGAAATTTAACCACACACCACGTCGGCGCAAAAAACAACGCACCGGCCCCTTTACAAGACGCCGTCTACAAACAAACAAAAACTATATCCTTCGCTTTTCACAATTCAGGGCGATCGCTTACGATGTTTCAGTACATTTGGGTCAAAGTATCTGGCCCGCATGGGAGAGTAGGACCGCATCTAGAGCTCCCTCTAATGGATGCACTTCCGCCAGCAGTTGGCGTTTGCAAAATATTGCAGGGCTACACATTTACTGTGAGCCGGGTCCTCCGGGTTTTCCCTCCACATGTAGAAGCATGCATTGAGATTATTCAGATTATTTTGGTGCTATAAATGTCCAAATGATGGGCCACTTTGTTCAGCTATCATTTGTGGCCAAGTCGCTTCTGAAAAATAAGTTAATACCTCAGTGGGCTTTGCCTGGTAGGATGGGTTTAGTTTTATTTGTATGTGTTTTGATTATTGGTTTACCTTTCTCGTACTCTGCACTACTACCATATTTTTTTTACTGTTTGTTGCTGTAACGTTCTTACCCGCCCCTACTAGACATCTGTAAAAAAATATCTTTATAGCTTATCGGATTCTTCCATTACAAATATTCTGATTTGGCAGAGGGCTGGCAAAGTGTGGTGTCATCAACGGCTTCGTGTCTCCGACGATATCTTTAATCATCAGTGGCTCACCACGGGCCATTGACAATCCATCAAAAGCACCTACAATACCACCATTGGAACCTCATATGCCAGTAAAAAAATGATAATTGTTTTTTTACCCTTCTATCTGGCAACAAAACTGGCACCTACAATGCCGAAAACACAATCTCCGGCAGTGACCGGTAAACAGGAAAAGGCCACTCGCCCGACATCACATGACTTAGTTACAAAAATCACAGTCTCATCGTTACCAAAGCTAAATAACGCGAAATGTTAGGTGTACCGACCCTGCCGATAAACGAAAACTATCGTTCTACACCATTGCAATATCGATGTACTAATAGCATAAATGCGTAGAAGCGCGCCTGTGAAGTGTATGCACATTCGGAGGGTCGATTTGTAACATTAATAAAGAACCCAAACCCGCGTTTGACATCCGGGGAATCACATACAAGCTACTTTCCCGTCCGATACTTATTGTTTTCTTAGGTCGCGCCTTAATTTAAGTAACTTGGGCTGCAATTAACGAGGAGAGAAATCATCGACTCTCTTAGGCCGAAGCCTACACCTTTGCCTGGATCCGGCCACGGGGTGCCCCTCGCATTTCTCGGCCAAGCAACCAGGAAAATGCGTATGGCTCGGTCCGTGGAAAATGGAGTTGGGGGGGTGTGAAACAAAACAAGACCAACACAACTTACTTTCGAGTCGTCCGACGTGACGAGCACAAAAAGTGTGAGCGCGACTGCGACTGTAAACAGCCTGAGCATCATCGCGACCCCCTTTGTTTATTTCGGCGTTTCGATTAAAATCATCGGCAGCCTGTCCAACTAGGCCGCGGCGCTCACGGAAAGCCGTCCCCTGTACCAGCGCTGTGATTGGCCACGTCTCGGTGACGTCACCGCGATTGCGCAATCCCCGCGGTGGCTTTTGGAAGGTGACGTCATCCGCCTTCTGCACCTTCTGGAAGAGGAAGCACGTGGGGGGGGGGTCATTCAGCACGTGGGGGGGGGGGGGTCATTCAGCACGCGGTTTAATTAGCAACATTTAAGTTAAAATAAAGAAGGCTATAACAATAGGTTTTACCCTTTCTGGCAATAAATCAGGTGTTATGATGGTAAAAGACCAAACAATCGTTTTTCAAGGAATCCTGTCTGCATTAACCACACGTACTTGTGCTGCATATGCGAACAAAGAACTTGCGCTGATAAGACGATGTAACACGATTTTTGTTCCTGGGTAGTGTTTTCTAATTGCTCATGCCTAAAAAGTGGCTATTATTCCCCACAAACTTTGCTTTACAACAACAAACAATGCAAAAACACGATAGGAGTGCAAAGTATAGGAAAGGTAAACGTATCACTTAAAAATACATACAATTATAACTCAACTTTTTTTATCTCACCTGGTAAAGCCTACTCAACTATTGGCTTCTTTTTCAGAATCGACCTATGTATACTTTATTTCTCCTTTTAAGTCATCCAGTGTTATTGACGAAAGTTACAAGTGTTGTCATTTAATGTGTGGAAATTACCAAATGTGATTCGGGGTTAAACGACACCCACCAAAATCGGTAGCTGTTTTAAAGAATCAAATTCGATCTGATATTTGTGGGCCCTGATATTCTTATTGATCTTTGACCCAGCATTTTGGTCCATAATATTTTGCTTATTTGCTTATACATTTGCACTATCACTGGCTGCGGGGACTATGTAATGTGTACGTTAAACACGGTATGGGGGAGGAGGTTATTTTGAATGACATTAAAAACACGAGTCTAGACATTTCGAGTACTGTATCTTCTACCACTTTCCACATTCTCGAGAGAATCGCATCATGAATATTAATCAGCGGGTGAACCACATTAAAGCCTCGCCCATGCAATGCCCCTATTGGCTGGGACGTTCTCATGTTTATTCATGAGCCGCGTTTTTTTTTCTTCACTTATTGGTAATTTGCAGAGTGCGCTTTCTATTATTCACTCGTCCTGCCGATTATATGCTCGACAAAAAAGGGGGGGCGATCGTTTTTGTTAATTGCCTGCGCAATTTGGTTTATTTTATTTCAAACAGGCGCTTACTGTCGATCGCGGCGGACACCTATTTCTGGAATCTTCTCGGGGTCCTCAGCTTGTATCGTCCAAGGAATCGAAACAACGCTCGGGTGTTCGATTCCAGAACTTCGATTCTTTAGCTCGAAATTAAATAGACGGGACGCAGGGCTCGTATTTAAGCTAAAATAAGTTTGTATTTATAATAAAGGATACTTTAACAGGATATAAGGGCCTTACTGCGATCTAAGGTTGCAATTTAGGATTTATGGCTGCAATCAGGATAAGCCTAGCATCTCAATTATGCATTAGGATATGTTAACAGATTAATGGGTTTGCGTTTAGGATTTCGCGTTATAGGTTTTTTTGCGAGATTATTGTTACGAATATGTGGGTCTCAAAAAGTGCACCGATGTACAGACTCGACAGCATCGTTCCGAGTTAATATACCGGCACCCAAGGAGCCGAATTGGCATCGCCAACGCGTTTTCGTGCCAAGAGCCCGAGGTTATGGGTTTTTTCTTCCGTTTTAGGACCAATTTGGGGAGTTCAGTTCCATCCCATAAATCGGCTCCACGTTCAACTTCATTCTGCGTCTCGCAATTTTGTCCTCGCGTCTTCCCTGCCTCCCTCACCCACCCACCTCATCTTATTTCCTATGATCACTGTTTCATTGCTTTCATGGCTTTATTTTGGTGATTTCGAAAAGTTTTTTGGTTTGGCCATGTTTGTTGTAGTACAGAGTTAGACTGATGGCCTTAATTTAAGTTGTCTTGTGGTTGTTGTTGTTTGACTTGCATCCCACTGGGATTTTTGCACGCAGCGTTGGTGTACGGTGCTTTTTCTGCAATATTTTTCTGTCTTTTCTTGGATTTTCTGTTTGCACTCAGTCACATATTCACTTTAAGATGTTTTTTGTTCATGTTTTTGTTTGTTGCAGTTGCACCCGATTCAAGAGCCGAATGGCTCACAGGGCTATACCTAATACATGAACTTGAATTTCCCTCCCACACGTTAATAGCATTCGCTCAGTAAAGTCACTTAGAAGGGAAATAATAAAATAAAAAATAGTGAACATTTTATTTTATGTTTTATTCTTATTATTTCCCTTCTACGTGACTTTACCCAAAGAACCAAGAAGATGAATCCCTGCAGTCACGAAAACTTTAAATCGAAACCGAGACAAGTTCCACTCTCACCCTCTTCTCAGAGTGCTGCCTGTTGCTGGCCGCTCGGACTTAATCGCCTTTGGCCACCGCGTGGATTTCCATTCTCTGGGACCATCCCGCTTTTCCCCCATCCGCACCTAGAAACCTGCATTGAGGTTGCTTTGATTTTTATTATTTTTTATAAACGTGCATTGATAATAGTTTTTTTACCCTTCTATCTGGCAACAAAACTGACACCTTTTTTACAAGGAGTCATGTTTGCATAGACCACAATACCTGCAGTCGTAATGCAAACAAAAAACATAACTCTGATAGTGCGCCTTTTGGCGTCATCTGGTCCAACACCATGTGAGACTAGGCTCTAAGTAAAGCTGTCTCGGGTGTGGACTAATCAACTTCAAGGACAGTGCATACATTATCAGAGTTATGTTTTTTGTTTGCAATATGACTGCAGGTATTGTGGTCTATGCAAACATGACTCCTTGTAAAAAAGGTGTCAGTTTTGTTGCCAGATAGAAGGGTAAAAAAACAATTATATTTTTACTGGCAAATGAGGTTCCAATGGTGTAAATGTGCGTTGAGGTTACTTTGATTTTTATTCTTTTTTAGAAACGTGGATTGAGGTTATTTTGTGTTGGGGGGGTATAAATGTCCAAATGATGGGGCCCACTTTGTTGAGCTGTCGTTTGTGGCCAAGTCACTTCTGAAAAATAAGTTTGGTGGGATGTGGATGGTTTTAGTTTTCTTTGGGTGATCTGTTCACCTTATGCTTCGTACTCCTATCGTGTTTTTGTACTGTTGTTGTGACGTCACCACCGTGCCCTTACATCTGTGGACAAAGAGCTTCATAGCTCATCGGATTCCTCCTGCGGTATAAAAATTGTAACAAAAAATACCCCCCTTCAATCTCACGCGATTATTGGTAAATATATAAACCTATCGATTCCTTCTCCAGAACAACACTTAGCGATTTCACGCGATTATTTAGAAAATATATAAACCTATCGATTCCTCCGGCAGAACAACACTTTGCGATTCCCACATCGAGACGTTAAAGGAATCGACTCCGATTCCAGCGTTGAGCAATGCGGCGCGTTTCCTACGGCGAATTCAGATTGGAATCGATTCACCGAAAATTAAATCGTTCCCGGTTAGTTTTTTAGTTGTTGCGAATCGCGATTCGACCCTACGCAATACAAATCTGCGGTATTTGTGGAATCGATCCAGGATTTTATCGTCGGTCGACGGAATCGATTCGACACCCCCCCCGCCTCCACCACCACCATCCATTGGGGTTGCATTCAGCAAAGCGGCGGCCACCACGTGCATCTTCTTCCGCGAGCTCCTCTCTTTCTCGATCTTTCTCGTTCTTTCTCCGCCTCTCTCGACGTCTCTCGCCGTCTTCAGCGATTGGCCCAGTGGCAGTGAGCATCCAGGTCGAGGTTCAGTGAGCGTGAAGACGGTGCTTGTGTTGATCGAGCGTGTTAGTTGTTACATTTTGTGCGGCGAGGGATGACTGCCGAGGCAGATGCGAAGGTGGAGAAGGTGGAGGAGGCGGTGATCGGCGGTGGCGCAGAAGCAGGGGACGACATCTCCCCCAAACAGGACGGCGGAGTACGCAAGGTAACGGCGAGTGGTCAACTGCAGAGGGGAGCACATTTGACAACCATCGTCATTGTTACCGTGTCAGCTGCATCATCCGTCAAAGTCCCAATCAATGGCCTTCCCCCCCCCCCCCCGAGTCAAAAAAGCATTGTTGTCACAGCAATTTCAACGTCGTCGTGCCTTTCATTAGCATCGTTATCAGCTTCATTGTTGTGATCGTGCAGAGCATAAGCATTGTCATCGTTATCCCTGCTACCACGATATCTTGTCATCCCTAACATTGTCGTCATCTTCCCGATCATCATCTCTGACATCTAAACCTCCCACCAACCGCACATGTATTGACTGATTAACAGCAGCAGAAGCAGCATCTTGGTTCGGGGATCTCGAAAAGATGGCAAGTCGCCTGTATTCCATAAATATGGATGCTCGGTTTCCCACCATAGTAATGTCGAATTTCCATCTAACAACCACTATCCAAAAAAAAATGGAAATCGAAACCCAGAATGTGGAAACATTTGTCATTAAAAATGACAGCAGGGCAAAGGAGAGCCCCCCTGAAAGTTCTCGCTCATGTCGCATTGGGCGGAAGAGCGAAACCACATTTTTAAAGACTGTATTTGGTCTACTCTTCCGCGTCGTGAGTGAAGTGTGTCCGTCAGACCTCCATGGAATGCGCGGGGGATGTCACCCGGACATTAACGATTCGAACTTAGCCGAACACGCACCTCGTTGCAATGTTAATCGATTCATTGCAATGTTAACCAATTTCAATGTTAATCGATTCATTGCAATGTTAACCAGTTTCAATGTTAATAAATTCATTGCAATGTTAACCAATTGCAATGTTAATCAATTCATTGCAATGTTAACCAGTTTCAATGTTAATCAATTCATTGCAATGTTAACCAGTTTCAATGTTAATCAATTCATTGCAATGTTAACCAGTTTCAATGTTAATCAATTCATTGCAATGTTAACCAGTTTCAATGTTAATCAATTCATTGCAATGTTAACCAGTTTCAATGTTAATCAATTCATTGCAATGTTAACCAGTTTCAATGTTAATCAATTCATTGCAATGTTAACCAGTTTCAATGTTAATCAATTCATTGCAATGTTAACCAATTGCAATGTTAATCAATTCATTGCAATGTTAACCAGTTTCAATGTTAATCAATTCATTGCAATGTTAACCAGTTTCAATGTTAATCAATTCATTGCAATGTTAACCAATTTCAATGTTAATCAATTCATTGCAATGTTAACCAATTTCAATGTTAATCAATTCATTGCAATGTTAACCAGTTTCAATGTTAATCAACTCATTGCAATGTTAACCAATTTCAATGTTAATCAATTCATTGCAATGTTAACAATTTCAATGTTAATCAATTCATTGCAATGTTAACCAGTTTCAATGTTAATCAATTCATTGCAATGTTAACCAGTTTCAATGTTAATCAATTCATTGCAATGTTAACCAGTTTCAATGTTAATCAATTCATTGCAATGTTAACCAGTTTCAATGTTAATCAATTCATTGCAATGTTAACCAATTTCAATGTTAATCAATTCATTGCAATGTTAACCAATTTCAATGTTAATCAACTCATTGCAATGTTAACCAATTTCAATGTTAATCAATTCATTGCAATGTTAACTAATTTCAATGTTAATCAATTCATTGCAATGTTAACCAATTTCAATGTTAATCAATTCATTGCAATGTTAACCAATTTCAATGTTAATCAATTCATTGCAATGTTAACTAATTTCAATGTTAATCAATTCATTGCAATGTTAACTAATTTCAATGTTAATCAATTCATTGCAATGTTAACCAATTTCAATGTTAATCAACTCATTGCAATGTTAACCAATTTCAATGTTAATCAATTCATTGCAATGTTAACCAATTTCAATGTTAATCAATTCATTGCAATGTTAACTAATTTCAATGTTAATCGATTCATTGCAATGTTAACCAATTTCAATGTTAATCAATTCATTGCAATGTTAACCAATTTCAATGTTAATCAATTCATTGCAATGTTAACTAATTTCAATGTTAATCGATTCATTGCAATGTTAACCAATTTCAATGTTAATCAATTCATTGCAATGTTAACCAATTTCAATGTTAATCAATTCATTGCAATGTTAACCAATTTCAATGTTAATCAATTCATTGCAATGTTAACCAATTTCAATGTTAATCAATTCATTGCAATGTTAACTAATTTCAATGTTAATCAATTCATTGCAATGTTAACCAATTTCAATGTTAATCAATTCATTGCAATGTTAACCAATTTCAATGTTAATCAATTCATTGCAATGTTAACTAATTTCAATGTTAATCAATTCATTGCAATGTTAACTAATTTCAATGTTAATCGATTCATTGCAATGTTAACCAATTTCAATGTTAATCAATTCATTGCAATGTTAACCAATTTCAATGTTAATCAATTCATTGCAATGTTAACTAATTTCAATGTTAATCAATTCATTGCAATGTTAACCAATTTCAATGTTAATCAACTCATTGCAATGTTAACCAGTTTCAATGTTAATCAATTCATTGCAATGTTAACCAGTTTCAATGTTAATCAACTCATTGCAATGTTAACCAATTGCAATGTTAATAAATTCATTTCAATGTTAATCAATTCATTGCAATGTTAACCAGTTTCAATGTTAATCAACTCATTGCAATGTTAACCAATTGCAATGTTAATCAACTCATTGCAATGTTAACCAATTGCAATGTTAATCGATTCATTGCAATGTTAACCAGTTTCAATGTTAATCAATTCATTGCAATGTTAATCAATTCATGCCTCGATGGCTTGGTTGTGAGGACGAGATGCGTTGGGGGTGGTGATGGAATTTGAATAACCCCCCACCCACATCGTCCACGCGGTGCAGATGTAAGTCTAACCGGCGAACCTTCTCGATTCCGAGTTCGGTGTGCTGCTACTGCTGCTCACCATTACACCACCTGTGGTTCTTAAAACCTTTACAGCAACAGCAGCCTTGCAGCTCCCTTGGTTCTCAATAGTAAACAAACTTAAAAAATGCGTTATGTTAATTAAACGCATAGGTTTGATGACACAAAGGTAACAGCGATTAGTCAATATTTCCGTGCCCGTGCTTAATTTATCTTTTCGATTATTTACCTTCGAAAAAAAATGCCCATGTCTCTCGCTACCCCCCCTGGAAAGGGCATTTCGCACCCCCAGGGGGTGCGTGCACCCCGGGTTAAGAACCACTGGTGTAGTGTATAGTGTAGTGTATAGTAGTGTATAGTGTAGTGTATAGTAGTGTATTGTCTAGCGTAGTGTATAGTTGTGTAGAGTGTAGTGTATAATAGCATATTGTAGTGTATAGTGTATTGTCTAGCGTAGTGTATAGTGTAGTGTATAGTTGTGTAGAGTGTAGTGTATAATAGCGTAGTGTATAGTGTAGTGCAGTGGTTCTTAACCTTTACAGCAGCCTTGCAGCCCCTTTGGTTCTCAATTGTTAAAAAATGTATGGAATATTAATAAATACGTGGGGTTTGATGAAACAAAGTAGTTGTACTTACGTGCCGCATGCTTAAATTATTTACCTTCTAAAAAAATGTGTCCATGTCTCGCATCCCCCCCAAGAAAGCGCATCTCGCCCAACCGACAGGGCATCTTGCACCCCAGGCTAAGAACCACTGCATTACAACATTGGCAGCTTTCCCGCATGCATGTGTATATAACATCTTACCCCCCCCTCCTCCAAACAATTGGCAAAGCATCAGGTTAAGTCAATGAGAGTGGCTGAGGAAAATTCCAGAATGACAGAAATGAGATCCGTGTGTTTGTGTGTATTTCTTAATGGTAATGCGGGGAATTATAACGTGTAACACCTTTATCACTCTACTGCTGGATGAAGCCCCCCCCCCCCACCCATTCCTTGCCAGTCGCTTGTGCCTGTTCGACCATACTTCACCACGCTGGTCAGTGCGGGGTTGATGAAGGCAGAGAAGGACCCATAACTGGTTGTGATGTCAACGAGATTATGATGATTCCTAGTACTGTCGTTTTAGCGGAGTATAAATTGAGTTTTCATTGCGATGAGACTGGCTTATTAAAGAAAGTTCCAGAATAGGTGTCTCAAACCGACATGAATGTGTCGCATTCTCAGCAGATTATTATTAAGCTGTTGGGCAGTACATTGCTACTGACGGTGGCTGGTGATAGGCTGTGATGAGATGGGTAATTAATCAGAATTAGAATATGTATTTACACTGGAGGAATCCGATAACGCTCTTTTTCGGACACGTCCAGTAGTGATGGCCTGGATGATGGTGTTAAAATCTTGTGATGTAAAATCTTGTACTGTATATTGTGGGGTTCTTGTTGGCCGTGAATTTAAATTATTTACGGGACGCTGATGGGCTCAGGAAAGTTCCGGAATGGGTGACTGAAACCGATGTGGGTGGTTGGGGGTGGGGCATTGTAGCTGAGTGGCAGGGGGGACGATTGAGGGATAGGCAGGCAGCGTCTTGGTTGAAGGAGGCTTCATACAACGGTGGATTGACCGCAGCTCATGGCGGTTGTGTGTTGCTGCAGAATTAAGCCGTTGAGGATTTGTGCGTGGAATTTTTTTTGTGTAATTCAAATTTCGTAGAATTGAAACGCTCTGGTAGGTATTTAGTTTGCTCACGTGGCTGAGCGCAGGCCCAAAGGCGCAGAATGCCGGACGGCCAGCAGCAGACAGCACTCTTTGAGTGTGTAGTAAAGCTATACGTTTCTTCAATTGAGCAAGGTTTTAATAAGATGGGCAAAACAGTGACGGTGGCGGGAGGGAATTCCAAGTGAAACAGTGCAAGGGAAGAGGCAGAGAGAGGAATGAGGTGATCTGTGGTGAGTGGGTGAGTTAAGTGTGGTATTGTGACCTGCAGTGTGGTGAGTGGGTTAGTGTGGTATTGTGACCTGCAGTGTGGTGAGTGGTTAAGTGGGTTAGTGTGGTATTGTGACCTGCAGTGTGGTGAGTGGTTAAGTGGGTTAGTGTGGTATTGTGACCTGCAGTGTGGTGAGTGGGTTAGTGTGGTATTGTGACCTGCAGTGTGGTGAGTGGGTTAGTGTGGTATTGTGACCTGCAGTGTGGTGAGTGGGTTAGTTTGGTATTGTGACCTGCAGTGTGGTGAGTGGGTTAGTTTGGTATTGTGACCTGCAGTGTGGTGAGTGGTTAAGTGGGTTAGTGTGGTATTGTGACCTGCAGTGTGGAGAGTGGGTAAGTGGGTTAGTGTGGTGTTATGACTTGCAGTGTGGTGGGTGAGTGGGTTAGTGTGGTATTGTGACCTGCAGTGTGGTGAGTGGGTTAGTTTGGTATTGTGACCTGCAGTTTGGTGAGTGGGTAAGTGGGTTAGTGTGGTATTGTGACCTGCAGTGTGGTGAGTGGTTAAGTGGGTTAGTGTGGTATTGTGACCTGCAGTGTGGTGAGTGGGTTAGTGTGGGATTGTGACCTGCAGTGTGGTGAGTGTGTGGGTGAGTGTGTTGTGAACCATATGCACCTCAAGGTGGACATGGCCTGGCACAAGCGTTGTGGTGACGTCACCGCCACTTAGTGGCAAATGGCGGTTGTTGTGACCCTCTGTGTCGTGGTGGTTGAACACAGTGCTGATGAGATGCGGGTGGGCGAATCGTTGAGCGCAGTTTACATAAACAGTGACCATGTTAGTAGCAACGATAGAAGAGTGAAAAAGACGCAGATGTATTGCTCATGGTGGCCATGATTGGACTGTGGTGCCCTGTGATGGAAGATTCCATCCACTCTTTTGAGTGAATGAAATCGTCAATGTGTGGGGTGGGTTTTTTTTTAGCAGAGATAGAAACTTTTGGTGGCCGCCTCAGATCAGATTACCCGGAATTCAGCCGATATCATCACGCCATCACGCCTCCGAAGCCAGGCGGGGGGGTGGGGGAGCATGGGGACGGTGCTTTGATGGGCAGGTCGCTTTCTGCCTTTTGTAAGCAACCGGTTGCTCGGTTACATGCAACCGAGCTGCACAATTGATCACTGGACAATAATGAAACAAGCCATACCAGATGAATGCACACACGTACAACCCTTTTGCCAATCTGCTGTTGGATGAGTACCTCTCCCCATACTGTGCGGGCCATGCTGCTCAGTGTGTGTTGGTGGCGACACAGCGTACGTGTTGAAGCATAGAAGCACAGCACAACAGTGTATTCTGCGGCCCCTGCTGCTCAACCACGTAGCCCTGTCCTAGAAGCCTATAGTCACTTGCTATGCAATGTGGTCTCCCGACCAAGGTTTAGCCAGCATCCTGGGCGATGGGGTCATGGGTGTGCCAGATTGAATGCAGTGAAAACGGAGCTGACGCAATACTACGTATTCGCTGGACAGAGTCGGAGAGATAATGGAATGAGGGACATGCACAGCGTATAGAGACACGGCGCTAGACCCACATACAAGAGAGCTGTGAAGAGTGTGTCACGGGGAAGAGAGACACTTGAGACGGACAGAGAAACAGACGGCAGAGAGATATTTGGAGAGACATGACAGATATGGAGGGACACGGAGAGGTAGAAACACCGGGATGTGCAGAGCCACGCAGTAATTTAGAGAGACGGTTGCGGAGAGTGGCAGACGGACACATGGAGACATGGACGCAGAAGGAGACGGACACTTGAAGGGAGGGAACACGGAGGCACAACCTTGAGCATGTTCACACGTTGTGCTTGCGTAGAGAGAGCACTGCCTGCGATGGCGAGAATTTTGATGCCAATAATTTATGGGGAATGCTCGCATCGGGGCGGCGTGACCCAGTCTTAACGCGATTGAGTTTGCACAAGGCTCGCGAGAGAGTGTTACGTTGCAAAATTCAACGCGAGTCCAGTCCAAGCTCCCAGTGGGTCAGCTTGGCATTAAATGAGTTGCCCGGTGTTGTGTTTAGACGTTGAGTTTAGCGCGGGAGGGCAGACGAGCAAGGCCTGTGCATGGTGGGCAGTGCTGACCACAATGCCCTCCACGTGCGCCGGGCAAGCCTTCGTGCGCAATTGCTGACAAGCATGGGTGGGGTGTAAAGTCGCATATGTCGCAATGGCTGCTTATTTTATGAATTTTTATAAATTCATATGAGTACAGAGGTCAACTTTTGTGTTACGAGATGGGTACTTGAGGCAGGCGTAGGCCATATCTGTGTTGCTGTGCGAGTTCGAAAACCCAGACTGGAAATTTACACAGAGGACCCCGTAGACTCGCATGGACACCCGTAGACTCGCACGGAGACCCATAGAATCGCATAGAGACCCATAAAATCGTATAGAGACCCATAAAATCGCACAGAGACCCATAGAATCGCATTGAGACCCATAGAATCGCATTGAGACCCATAGAATCGCATTGAGACCCATAGAATCGCATAGAGACCCATAGAATCGCATAGAGACCCATAGAATCGCATAGAGACCCATTGAATCGCACAGAGACCCATAGAATCGCATAGAGACCCATGGATTCTAATGTTCCGAGCGGGCAGTGGTGGTGCAATGTGGTCCACGGGTTGATATTGGTGCCTGCACGCACATTATGGGCTATCCTTAATTGTACCATCAGTCTGGGAGGAACACAGCCATGTCTCCTGTGCACTGTTCTGCCGCGGTTCAATACAGACACATTATACGTGGCTCAGTTGCCCATAACTTAACAACACATCTGGGTTTTTTTTATTTAGGCCTAGGGGAGCCCCGATTGGAAGCTCATCCCCTGTCGGTGACATTGGCATAGTGCCCGGTTTCTCTCCCCCAAGCCTGGGCATTGAGCCGAGGGCATCACGCTGTGAGATCCGCTGTCACTTGTCGCCCAAACGTGGCGGGGGTGTTGATAATGTTGGTTGTGAAAGCCGACGTGTTAAACTGACGGCCGGGGTTGTTGCGACGGCGGGGGGCGCGCCGGGTGACGAGCGTTTGACCTCCAGACGATCGCGCTGACCCCTCGTCAACCCTTGTCCAACCCGCAGCTGATCAAGCGTGCGGGCGAGGGCGATGACACGCCACTGGCCGGAGACAAGGTGTGGGTTCACTACACGGGCACGTTGCTTGACGGAACCAAGTTCGACTCCAGTCGCGACCGAGGGGAGAAGTTCACCTTCGAGCTGGGCAAAGGTGAGGATTCTCGTGCCGTGGTCCACTGTCGGTATGAATTCGAAGTGGCATTTTTGTTCCCCTGTATAATCTAAAGCAAAAGTTGGGGGTGGGGGGAAGGGGAGGAGGAGGGGGGATGCATCTTATAATGAGGACAATTAATTGTATTCTGGAAGACAGTGTTTTAATCTAGTTCAGGATTACCTTCCGGAAGACGGCAGGTGTGTCGCCCGGTTTGTGTAACTTTGACACCGGGGGTACAACTTTAGGGGTTGTGCGTTGCTCTGCGGAGCATCTTATAATCCGGAGATATACGGTCATTGTAAGTTGAATATCAGCAAACAGTTCTGCTGCATCGTTATGATAGTTGACTCTGCATTTGTTATATCTGGGGTAATTGGGCGAAGGGTGGTCCATATTGGAAAAAAAACATGGATAATGAAAAACAAATGTAAATTAGGCAATAAATCATGGTACTGGTTACCTATACAGAATCTGGGTGAAGAGGTGGAATGCGTCGTATGGTTTGTATTGGTTGCTAAAGTAATCCGATTACTTTCCGATGTGTTTGTGGTCACCGAGTCGTGGACCCTCAACGAGCGACGGTCAGCCAATAATTAGAGCAGCATGGCTACTCCGTTACCTGGTTATCACGCAACCCGGTTACTAAGTAATCCGGCCACCAAACAAGCCGGTTACTCCACCCACGGATAATGAAGAGTTAGCTTTGTAATCAACTACGGGCCTGCATCGCGGTGCAGCTGTTTGCTACGGTCCAGCAGTAGCCATCATAGCTGCCGTGTGCCTGTGACCGCACGCATGTACGTGTGCCGCCTTGCGTGATTGACCGTTGTACCCCCCCCCCCCCCCCGCGTTACCTTTTCCAGAGCAAGTGATCAAGGCATGGGACATCGGCGTGGCGACGATGAAGCGGGGGGAGTTGTGCCAGCTGACGTGCGCCGCCGAGTACGCGTACGGCGCCGTGGGCAGCCCCCCCAAGATCCCCGCGAACTCCACGCTCATCTTTGAGGTGGGTCCTTTCGACCACTCGGACGATTATTTGGCCACTCGGTGGGTCTGTTATTCAGGTCGTTCAGTGGGCCAGACTGAACGGAATGCTGTCAGTTAATATTGATCTGGAAGGCTGATAGGCGGGTGGACTAAAACAATTATTTAATTTATATGTGGAGGTACTAAACTCCTTTCCGCTTGCACGTGTGGATAACCGTAATGCTCCCAGACAGCGCATAACGAGTTTCACGTTAAACAAGGCCCCATCGTTAATACTAGATGTAATTGTGATTGTACCATCATTTAGACCAGATGTCATCGTGGTAGTACCATCTGGCAGCCCAGTAGCACTTGCTTATTACGTATGGATGTTGGACTTATTTCGGACCGTGCGTAGTCAACCGCGCAAATCGGAGATCCGGGGGAAGGACAAAAAAAACACAAAAAGCAGTTCTGACTGCTGATGGTCGCAATGTTTGCCCGCGAGACGACCTTGCCTGGGTCTTCCTCCAGGTGGAGCTGTTTGACTGGAAGGGGGAGGACCTCACGGAAGAGGAGGATGGAGGCATCATCCGGCGCATCCATTGCAAGGGGGAGGGCTACTCCAAGCCTAATGAGGGCTCCACCGTAGAGGGTGCGCCCCCCCCCCCTCGTCACCCACACGCGCGCTGCGACTCATGGCTACAGACACAACGCGGCCGCAGATACACGCGGCCGCAGATACACGCAGCCGCAGATACACGCAGCCGCAGATACACCCGGCCGCAGATACACGTGGCCGCAGATATACGCGGCCGCGGATACACGCGGCCGCAGATATACGCGGCCGCAGATACACGCGGCCGCAGATACACGCGGCCGCAGAAACACGCAGCCGCAATTATTTGGCACAGCGCCGCCACAGGCACAACGCGGACGCGCAGACAACTGCTACGACTGCTGCCACGCACACAAGCGCCGAGACCACAATACTGCAGACACAACTATAACCACACAGACTGCGATACTACGGGCAAATAAAGACGCAACCACTGAGCGCTCGCGTAGACCACGCGCAACACTACCAGACACAAACGTTATTCATGTTTGGCTACCCATTCGTGTACGTGAGTGTATATGTGAAATTAAATGTGGAGGGGAAGTTGCGGCGCAGTGGTTAGCGCGCTGGGCTACGAACCCAGCGACCTGAGTTCGATTTCTGCTGACGGGCCAACACCAGTAACAATTATCTGAACCAGTGCTGGGCTTCGCCTAGGTCGACTCGGCCTCAAATTAGTACCTGCTGCGATGTGCAGTCAACATCGCCACTCAGGAGACAAAGGCGGCTGGGCTTGGTGCTGGCCACCCGCCCCCTCACGTGCTGTACCAGCCTTCATAGGTGCTACTCGCTCACGGCGCTTGCCTCAACAGTCCGTTAAGGCTACACGTGGGATCTTTGTCTCGCGCGCAGTGTCTCTGGAGGGCCGTGTGGGGAGCCGAGTGTTCGACGCACGCGACCTCTCGTTCACCCTGGGCGATAGCGAGGAGTTCGGGGTGGTGCCGGGCGTGGAACGCGCGCTCGAGAAGATGCTCAAGGGGGAAGTGTGCACCCTCACGCTGGCGCCCAAGTGAGTCTCGCGCTCGTACACTCCCTCTCGCACAACAACTGGCCGCCCTTCGTCTTCCCTTTGCCGATGTTATTTACACACCGCGCCAGGTCCTCATTTTAGGCTGCGCTCAACTAGGGGCGGCATACGAAAGACAGGAGTAGTTTGGGTTTGGTAGTTTTCATTGTTCTTAGGTTTTTTCGGTAAAGTCACGTAGGTAAAACATTAAAATTAATGAAAGCAAAATAAAATAAAAATCACGACGTTTCGGAGTCGTGATTTTTATTTTATTTTACTTTCATTAATTTTAATGTTTTACCTACGTGACTTTACCGAATACAACCTAAGAATATGAATCCTTGCAGTCACGAAAGCTTCAAATCTAGTTTTCATTGTGATCGTGGATTTGGCACGGCTGTTAACGTCTGCGATGCGTGTCGCAACACGTCGCCTGCAGGTATGCGTTTGGTCAGCAGGGAAAGGCAGAGTTTGAAATCCCTCCAGACACCAACGTGGAATACAAAGTGACTCTGAAGAGCTTTGAGAAGGTACGCGCACACGTTCACTCTGCGCTGTTAACACCCTTCGCATACTAACACGCACGCTGATACACAGCTGTGCGTTCACTAGAGTGTATCACAATATAGAAACGCTACGATGTACATCCGACGATATAAGATCAACGATAAACGCATCGTCCCTGTTTTAAAATATAGTTGTATCAGGATTATCGTTATTCATGAAAAAACTATAATGAACGTTTCCTGTGATCATTAACGATCTACGTGAATAGCTGTTTACACATTGAATGAGCGCTTTGTGAAATGTTTTGCACTCGCGTTATACACTCGCACTGCACAGTGATTGAATAAATGAATGCGCGTGTGTCCAGGCGAAGGAGTCCTGGGAGATGGACACCAAGGAGAAGCTGGAGCAGGCCGGCCTCGTGAAGGAGAAGGGAACCCAGTACTTTAAGGTGCGGCACGTGCAAAGCCCCACGGTGGCAGTGATGTTATCGTCCTCGCCTGGTCTACAGGAGGCCGTGGGTTCGATCCTGATGCCTGTATATTTGCATGTTCTCCCCGTAGTCACGTGGATTTTTTTCTCCGGGTCCTTCGGTTTTTTCCCTCCGCATTTAGAAACGTGTTTAAGAGTATTTGGCTGCTGTTAATTTCCACATTTGTGGCCCAAGTCGCTTCTGAAAATGAACGACATCGCTCCGTGAGCTTTACCTGGTAAAATGAAAATCGTTTAGTTTTCTTGATGCTCATCTATTTTTAGTGATTGGCTTACCTTTCCTATACTTTGCACTCCTGTCGTTTTTTGAATTGTTTGCTGTAACTTTCTAATTCGCCCATCCTGGACATCTGTGAAAAAGAGCTTTCATAGCTCATCGTATTTCTCCAGGATGAATTCAAAATTCTGATTCTGAAGGAGGAAATGTACCACACAATGGATGTTTTCGCAGCTGTGTGTGCGTGTACATGTGGGGAGCAGTAGTTAAGTGGTTAGCGCACTGCACGACGAACCCCCGCTCATGGTCACAACCAACACCAGTACGATTATCTGTCCTGGGCCTCCCCCAGGTCGACTCTGCCTCAAATAAGTACCTGGTGCGATGCGTAGTAAACATGGCCACTTGGGAGACAAACGTGGCTGGGCGTGGTGCTGGCCACCCATCCCCTCGTGTGCCATGGCAGCCTTCATATATACTTCCTGATAGCACTTGCATCAAAATTCTGTTAAGGCTATACTGGAGATGTTTTCCTTTTGTGCTGGTTGCTGCTACTGCTGTTATTTGTCCTGCTGTTGCTTCTGTTGCTGCACCCGGCGTAACTCCTGTTGCTCCCCTTAACTGCTGCTACTATTATCTGCTGCTTCTACTACTGCTACCATTACGCGCTTCTGCCGTTTCTGCTGTTGCTTTCGCTGTTTTTGTTGTTACTGCTCCTCCTGCTGCTTCTACTATGATCCTACTGCTGCTGCTCTTGCAACTGCTGCTTCTACCGCTCCCACCTCTCCCGCTGCTAATGTTTGTTCCGCTGCCCGTACCGCTTTCCCTACCGCCACCGCCAACCGCATGCAGGCAGGGCGATACAAGCAAGCGCTGGCGCAGTACAAGAAGATTGTGTCGTGGCTGGAGAACGAGTACGGCCTGGAGGGCACCGACGAGACGGCCGCCAAGAGCCTCGTGCTGGCTGCGCACCTCAACCTCGCCATGTGCCACCTCAAGCTGGCTGAGAGCCAGCAGGCGCTGGAGTGCTGCGACAAGGTACAGCGATCGCCCCGACTCGCACACACAGATGTACGCACGCGCACGCACGGAGAGATGTACGCGCACATAGCGATAGATATACGCACACATCAACACAGATACACTGCAACAGGCAGGCATGCACTCGTGTTCTTGTACAGATTGGCCCAAATTTCGATTTAAAGCTTTCGTGACTGCAGGGATTCATCTTCTTGGTTCTTTCGGTAAAGTCACGTAGAAGGGAAGTAATAAAATAATAATAATATAAAATAATATAATATATTATTTTATTACTTCCCTTCTACGTGACTTTACCGAAAGAACCAAGAAGATGAATCCCTGCAGTCACGAAAGCTTTAAATCGAAATTATTTTATTATGTTTTATTTTTATTATTTTATTACTTCCCTTCTAGGTGACTTTACCGAAAGAAACAAGAAGATCAGATTGGCCCAGTTGTACATTGTGCGTCACTTGGGTTTCGCTCACAATTGGTTCGTGCTTCTCCTGCGATTCACCTGTGGCTTCTCCCTGCGCTCCCCCGTCGATCTCCCTCCCCACCCACTTCCCCCCCCCGCCCCGCCCGCCCGCCCCTTGTCCCCCCGCCCCTTGTCCCCCTTAAGGCCCTGGAGAAGGACCCGCGCAACGAGAAGGCGCTGTACCGTCGCGGCGAGGCGCACGCGGCACAGAGGGACTACGAGCTCGCGCGCGCCGACTTTGAGCGCGTGCTGGAGGTGAACCCGGCCAACGGGGCGGCGCGTGCGCACGTAGCGCAGTGCCAGCGAAGGCTGCGTGAGCAGCACGAGCGAGACAAGCGCGTCTACGCCAACATGTTCAGCAAGTTCGCGCAGCACGACGCAAAGGTGCGGGCCGCCGGCCGTGTTAAGGTTTTCCATCGGGGATTTAATCTCGAAATATTTTCCGGGTCGCCTGTTGGGTTCGACTGGAGTAGATAGTTTCTTGATCGGTTCCGGCCACGGAGAGCGTATGTACTGGGCATGGCGTGCTGGGTGCGGATGTTTTTTTCCCCCGTTTTCTTGATATTGCTCAGCGTCGCAAAGCGCATTTGTCGGGTCAACTGGGGGGGGGGGGGGGGCTGTTTAGCTTTGGGTCATCTCGTCGTACGTTCCGTCTCGTGGCCTTCGATCCGCCTCGAGCAGCGGCCTCCTCGTCAAGCCCGTCGCTGGAATAACCGGACGCGTTCAGAACCCACAGTGCTCTGTTGCGGCTCCAGTCGTCTGGAATTAAACCTCTCGCTTTCACCCTGAACGTCGGTGTCGCCCCTGAATGAATGCTCTCCCGGCGCCAGCATTCTATCTGCGCTGGTTATACACTTAAATAATGCGCGTTGTACATATCTGCACTCCGTTAATTTTCAAAGCCATCGCGCGCAAGCTTTGCACCCCTGCCACAGGAAGGAAGTGGTGAGAGGTGTGATGGCAGTGCTGGTCCAGTCTCCTTCTGCTGTCACTTTTGGTCTCGATCACGTCTCTGCTATGATCGTTCGTGCCGTGCCTCATGCCCTGCTCGTGTCTCTATCCCGTGTGCGTCATCAGCATGAGAAGAGTCCGGGCAAAGGAGACGAAGACGTCTTCAAGAAGGCGGCTCAAGAAGCATCGGAGGTGACCGCCCCTTGCAGCCTAAAGCATTAATAGCAAAACAGGAGCAGTGATTATAATTATCGGCCTGTGGCCAAATGACCTGGCATTGGCCAAATGACCTCGCATGCGCCCAATCTTGGCAGGTGTTGGATACTAATTAGTGGGGTTGAGTCAGGACCGTGCTTTGATGGGCAGCTACTGTTGTACCTATGTATGTTGAACTTCTTTCGCACCGTACGTAGCCAACCATGTTAATCGGAGGTGTGGGAAATTACCTGGCATGCGCCCAATATCGGCAGGTGTTGGATGCTAATGAGTGGGGTTGAGCCAGGATCGTGCTTGGATGGGCAGCTTCCCGTTATGCGCAGTGAAGTGTAGTGAAATAACCGCCATGGGACTCGCACGATGTGACGAGGCTTTCATCCAGCATGCGCCTCTCCATGCCTATTTGCACACTTTTTTTGTTAACTCTTCCCCATAATTTTATTCGTTATTGCCCACGCTCTTTCTTCTGATATTAGGAAGCTACTGCAGCTATGCATTTTTAAATCTAGATTGAAAACTCTTTTCGTTAAAACTGCTTGTTATTTTTAGTTTGTTGTCCTTCCGCCCGGACCTCTGATTTAGCACAGTTGGCTACGTACGTTGCGAAAGAAGTTCAACACACACACATACTTATACGCTTCTGAGCCATCCGTGTCCATGGCTGGTAGCGCACATTTCACACACAAAAGCAAAGGTAAAACGCTCTGGAAAGCTTTGCGAAATCCACGCGTGTGCACGACGATTCTATTCCTGTTAAAGTCGAGTGTTTGTTGCAGGATGAACAAGTGGACAAAGAGGAAACGGACGAAGCTCCCGCTGCTCCCATGGAAACGGAGGCGGCGACCGCGTGAGGCGGGGGGGGAGGATGGTTGCGGAAGGCCCGGTCGATTTGGGGCTTCCACCGTTGATGGCGGTTTCTGTTCCATCGCCACCGTCTTGGGAGCAGCATCTTCACTCTCTCTCTTGAAGTCCCCTCCCGCTTTTCTCCGGTTTGATTGCCATGCGATGAACACTCTTCGCAGGGCAGTAATATACACGTGGGCTACGCCACTTAGTGTGTTGGATAAGTGTCGTGTTCCCCCCCTCCCCCCATCGAGTCCGGTGTCTTCAGGATTGGTTTCTGTGACGTCATATTCGAGGTGGGGGGGGGGGGGGGTCGTCCCCCTCCTCCCCCCAAAAGGAATGTGTGACGTCATACTGCGTGCTCGCCGCGGGTCCAGCAGATGTGGAAAGTTCATCGTCTCATTACAGGATGCCGATAGCAAGAAAATTAGAATATACTTTGTTAATTAAAAAAATATGCAAATCGCTGCACCCCTTGGTCAAAATGATCTGATCCGGTTGTGTTAACGTTCCTAAATTAATTGGTAGTTTTTCTAAGTTTTGCTTTGTGCTTTCATTTGCTTTGTTTTTATATGGTTTTTGTGTTCGGTTTTACAACTTAGAAGCAAGATGCATCTGAAACAACACCAATCGGTCTCCATTTTACCATCCTTTGCGATGCAACGTCCGATCCACGACAATGCAGCGGCGTATTAATTGCAGCCGCCGTAAATAATTGTCAATTCACCGCTCAAAGTTCCGGCTCGCGACTCCCAATTTGCATCGTTCCCATTCCGAGTTTAAAATCTTCCTACGTACGCCTGGCCTGACAAACGAGCACGGAGCGGCTCCCAGCATGCACTGCGTGTATCCTGACGTAGCCAGGGTCACTGGGTTCCCACCTCCCGAACAGAAACAGCAAGGGGACTCCACCATGGCCGGGATGCCTCTAGAGGCCGCTATACTGATACGTCTTAAAGCAATGGTTCTCAGCGTTTTTGGTATGGCGCCAAATCCCCCCCCCACCCAATCAAAACCACTGATTACGATGATCCCCGTCTCCCTGGTTACTAAGGTCTCAATAAACAGACACCCCATGTCCACTCCTGCACTCAACGTACTCTTGGCCATTTTGTTTCGTGTTGTGTACTTGTGTTTTTTTGTGTTTTTTTTGTGTTGTTGCCGTGACGCTGACATTCCCCGCACACGTTCGAAATCTTTCCAGAGCAGTGTCCATGCGACAGCCCGCGCAGCCCCTCTGAGGGTTTCATGGTGGTGCACGACCAACGGGCAGTTGAGAACCGTTGCCTTAAAAATCATTTGGCTTTGACCTTCATTTCTTTTTATTCTTTGGGTCTTTCGGTAAAGTCACGTAGATTCGAAGCTTTCGTGACTGCAGAAATTACTCTTTGGTTCTTTCGGTAAAGTCACGTAGAAAATCAAATAATAGAATTCGACGTTTCGGTTGCAACACAAGCAGCCATCATCAGGTAAGAATTAATGATTAAACACAGACACGGAAACAACATAGGCAGACATGCAGACACTTGCTCGGTGAGTCTCTGCATGCATGTGCCTATGTTTCCGTGTCTGTGTTTTATCATTCATTACCTGATGATGGCTGCTTGTGTTGCAACCGAAATGTATTCTATTATTATTTTATTTTCTACGTGACTTTACCGAAAGAACCAAAGAGTAGTTACGTAGATAGCTTGAAAGACAAGCGATCGTCATCAGGATCGCTAGTATTGTGATCGAAACGTCTAAGTCATAACTGGCTGTGATGTTTCCACACTATCTTCCGATGTTGTGATTTTCGGCTCTCTGATTTTACATTAATAGGTTAAATTTCTCACATGAACACAGCCACCTTGCACGCTTTTGCGATCCTCCATTAACATGCTAATTTCTACATTAACATAACTAGCCCCGCCCACTGTTTATGACCCTTGGGCTACGTCAATTCTAAACCTTTAAAACAGTCTGCCTCGGCAGCTTTACTCTTTTTTCCTCCTGATGCCGATAGCTTGTGTTGTGATCGAAACGTAGTTTTCTGTTATTTTCTTTTAACCCATCTACGTGACTTTACCGAAATACCCCAAAGAATGTGAATTCCTGCAGTCAGGAAAGCTTTAAGTCAAGATTTCATTTATTTCTCACGCACGAAACGCTTCAAATTTGTTATCAGAGTAGGGCACGCAGTCTGAGGATGCAACCAGAAAACAAAAGCCCATTTAACTTTGGGTTGCCTCTTCCATTATAGCAGATGGTAAAATGGGTGGCTTTCGGCGTATTTTTCATTCCATGTAATCTGTATTTTCCCGGCGCACACCTGTGGAGTACGGTCACTAATGTAAGGCTCACTGGGGAAAGCAATACCGATGTTAAGTTAGTGATGCATCCGTTTTTTGGTGGAATGGACTTTTGATGGCTCACGAACGAAATAAAAGCAAAGTTGAAATCGTTGTGCACTTGTACGCTCACACACGCAGGACACGGCAGGCATGCAGGTTAACGCGCTATGCAAGTGAAGGGAGTGAATGACAATCTCTCTCGGTACATATTTAAAGATTAAAATCAGTTTGCAAGGTAAATATGCGCCTAATTGTGCATGTCACAATCCATTATTTTTCCAAGTCGATACAGCCGGCCACATGAGTCATCATATTTAGCATCATCCCTCCCCCCAGGCTACAGAATGTGCGCAGAGGTTTTGCAGGCAGGCGCTAAGTACCCACTCCCACCGCCTAACTTGCCCTGCCCTCTACCCATAAATCCTCACTTCTCTACATTGTTGGTGGGTGCAGCGTGGGCTAAGCCACCTTAGCCTCACTGCATTTTCGTATAATTACAAGCAAGGCAACAGCAGAAGGCACGGATATCTTCTCCTGTCCTTGGTAATGCTAAGTACCATCGCAGCACGGGCCCTCATCGGCGAGTTGCAAGGTGGCAACGTGAAGTTCCTGCCATCGTTGGAGTGAAGACGTGGCCCTGCCACACCAGCTGGCAAGCCGATACTCGTCGGCACAAGTCCCTTGCCTGCAAGGGACATTTACACAGGAGCATTGTACAATCACCGGAGCATTGCAGGCGGCTATCAAGGCTTCCCACCTACAGGTTGGATGCCTGGTCATGTACATAGCATCATTGGTAATTAACATCTGATTTTGAAACTCGTCCTCCTCTACACGAGGTCAACTCTGGCTTGGAATAGATACCTGGTACATACGGTTAACATCAATACTGGGAGGAGACGACGGTGTGGCCGTGATGTGGGCCTTAGTGGTTTCTCACAGATGCCCTGACATCTAACTACTTTGGTGATCTCTAAATACGTGTTCAATTTAATTACGCGTGTACATCTGCACAGCTGCTGGTGTCAGGCAGCCGCGTTAAATGTTTGGGTACTCAAATATGTATTTTAAAACTATTACCGTATTCTGTGAATTATAACAGTAAAACACCACAAATATATGCCAGGTGTCAAAGTCATACAAATATGGTCACACACCGGATTTTAAGACACCCAACTCTTGTTTTAAATTACAAGTGCGTCTAATCTGGGGAGTGCAGTGGGTTAATTGATGTGCACATGTAACTTGGGGTGGGAGATCACTTGGTACTGCCACTGCTTAGAACCTGGGTTCGAATCAGGATCTCGGCTGAATTTAACCAGGTTCTGACACGTGGCGAGTTGGGCAAGGCCTGTTCAAAAAGTACTGAATGAAAACTCATTCAAGCTGGCTCCGAGGAGTAAAACATTCTGCCCCGTAGCCGTGTGAAGGATCCCGTCTCTAGCAGCGCGAAAATGAGGCAGATTGAAGGTACCTCCAAAGTACGATTAATTCATCATACACGGAGGCCGTTCTGTAACGGGGCGTTGCACGGCTTTCCAAATAAGAGGGCGGAGCCTAAAAAGGAAAGGCGTGCAACCGGAAGGAGAAGATGGAAGGGGTGGGGCCTAGCTCTAAAGAGGTGGGACCTAACCAGGAAGAGGTGGGACCTGATCGATGAGGGGCAGGTTCTGATGAGGGGCCTGATAATTAGCGATGGGCAGGGCCTGGTAAATGAGGGGCGGGTCTGATCAGGGAGGGGCGGTGCATAAATAGAATGGGGTCGGGGTCTCATGGAGTTAGAAATTCCCTGTTGATTCTTAATTTGAAGCTTTCGTGGCTGCAGGAATCCATACTCTTTGGTTCTTTCGGTAAAGTCACGTGGGTAGAAAAATAAAATAGATCACGACGTTTCGAGCGCAACACAAGCGTCCGTCACCTGATGTGTTGCGCCCGAAACGTCGTGATTTGTTACATTTTATACCTATGTGACTTTACCGAAAGAACCAAAGAGTGCGGTTCCCTGTTGATTCTTTCGTAGCTGCAGGAATCCATACTCTTTGATTCTTTCGGTAAAGTCACGTAGGTATAAATTAAATCACGACGTTTCGGGCGCAACACAATCGTCCGTCATCAGGTGAGAAAGCTTGTTCTGCTGCTGAGGCAGACTGTTTTAAAAAGGTTTGAAATGGGTGTAGCCCAAGGGTCATAAAAAAGTGGCCAGGGCTAGTGATGTTAATGTGAGAAATTAGCATGTAACTGTAAGATCGGAGGAGAGCGGCCTCCTCAAAGCGGGCATGGAAGTGGCTATGTTAATGTGAGAAATTAGTATCAAACTGTAAGATAGAAGGAGATCGGCCTCCTCAAAGAGGGCACGGAAGTGGCTATGTTAATGTGAGAAATTAGCATCAAACTGTAAGATCGGAGGAGAGCATCCTCCTCGACGAGGGCACGGAAGTGTCTATGTTAATGTGAGAGATTAGCATGTTAATGTGAAAGATTCACATGTAACTGTAAGATAGGAGAGCGGCCTTCTCGACTAGGGCACGGAAGTGGCTATGTTAATGTGAGAGATTAGCAGCCACTTCCGTGCCCTCGTCCAGGAGGCCACTCCCCTATCTTACATTAACATGCTAATGTATCACATTAACATGCTAATGTATCACATTAACATGCTAATGTATCACATTAACATGCTAATTTCTCACATTAACATCACTGGCCCCGCCCACTTTGTGTATGACCCCTGAGGCTACACCCATTCTAAACCTTTAAAACAGCCTGCTTCAGCAGCTTACCTTTTTTGCTCCTGATGACGATCGTTTTAATGTTGCGATCGAAACGTCGTAGTTTCTTTCATTATTATTTAGTAATTTTGTACACATTTTTTTTGAACCTATCTCCGTCACTTTACCGAAATAACCCAAAAAATATAAATAATAACGGTACCCTGTGCGTTCTTCACTCGTGCCCGTAGTAGTAGTGGCACGGCTCGGCCACTCGAGGGCGCCATCCCCCCCCGTCCCCCCCCCCGCGCCATCTCCCCCCCCCCCTCAGCCTCAACCCCCCCCCCGCGCCATCTCCCCCCCCCGCGCCATCTCCCCCCCCCTCACCCTCGACCCCCCCCCCCCGCGCCATCTCCCCCCCCCCTCAGCCTCAACCCCCCCCCCCCGCGCCATCTCCCCCCCACCGCGCCATCTCCCCCCCCCTCAGCCTCAACCCCCCCCCCGCGCCATCTCCCCCCCCCCCCGCGCCATCTCCCCCCCCCTCACCCTCGACCCCCCCCCCCCCCGCGCCATCTCCCCCCCCCTCAGCCTCAACCCCCCCCCCCTCGCGCCATCTCCCCCCCCCCTCAGCCTCAACCCCCCCCCTCAGCCTCAACCCCCCCCCCTCGCGCCATCTCCCCTCCCCCCCCGCGCCATCCCCCCCCCCCCCTCAGCCTCAACCCCCCCCCCCCGCGCCATCCCCCCCCCCCGTCAGCCTCCCCCCCCCCACCCGCCCCACACAAGATGGCGGACGGCGGGAGTACCGGCGGCGCTTTGGCGCGCGGCGACGGCAACTCCCGCGCCTCCCCCGCCGGGGACCTCGCGCCAAATCCCGCAGCCCGAGCAGGAGACGCCGAGGCTCTCGCGGAGCGCGAGGCCGCAGAGGAGCGAGTAAGCGGCGATGGCGGTAACGGCGACGCCGCCGCCGCCACCGCCGCCGCCGCTGCCGCCGTCGCCGCCGCGGCCGCATCTGCGATCGACGGCGGCGGCAGCAGCAGCGGCGGTCGTAACAGCGGCGACGGCGATCGGACCACCAAACAATCGCTACCTTCCCTGCCTCCGCCGCCGCCGCCTCCTCCTCCACCTCCGCCGCCGGTGAACCTGCTGGAGGCGTGCTTCGTGTGCCGCGAGAGCCTTCAGAGCCGCGAGCCCAAGCTGCTGCCGTGCCTGCACTCGTTCTGCCACGCGTGCCTCCCCCCGCCAGAGGAGAGGCGGCTCGGGGTGCCGACGGGCCCCGGAGCGATGAACGGCGGCGAGACCCGCGTCCAGATTGCCCAAGGTGGGTGGGAAGCTCAACTTTGTTTTTTAAGTCGCGTCGAGAAAGCACGATGTTATCTTAATTGATTAGCTGATGCTGCCCCCGGAGCGATGAACGGCGGCGAGACCCGCGTCCAGATTGCCCAAGGTGGGTGGGAAGCTCAACTTTTTTTTAAATCGCGTCGAGAAAGCACGATGTTATCTTAATTGATTAGCTGATGCTGATCGGCGGCAGCGGCGGTATCGTGTAAATTGAGAATGAACGTGAGCAAGCACCACTGTCGTCGTTATCACAAGTGAACTTTTATCAACAAAAGCAGAAGCAATACTGCGAGTAGCGTCGCTTCAATTCAACAACACCGTGAACACGAGCAGCGCCCACCGTCATCATCGTTCTAATCGTTACATTGAACTCTACTTTTATCATCATGACAATCATTGCAGAAATAACACGAGCAGCGTCGCTTAAATTGAACAACAACATAAACGTGAGCAGCAGCACCACCACCGCCATCGTTATAATCGTCGCGTGCATTAAACTTTTACTCGTCATTATCACAATTACCAGTAGCAGAAGCTATTCCACGAACAGCGTCGCTTAAATTGAACTTAACTTGAGCGTCATCACCAATCACGAGCATCACCAGCATATGGACATGAGCAGCAGCATCAATGATGATCATCATTTACATTTCACTCAGGTTTTATTATTAAGTCATCCGCATCACGAGCATCGGCATTTGTATTGGCACCATTATTGTGATCACCTTCATTGAACCTAAACATTGTCAAACGCTTCAAAATAATTAATCAGTGAGCATTACCAAATAAAGTCATTATTAAAATATGTACATAGAAAATGTTGCTGGCACGTTGTATGATGGGTGGACCTGTGGTTGTGTGGTCATTGTAAACACAATTAGCATGCTCAACTTTAGTGATGCATTCCTGGGTGCAACTTTCATTTTTTTACAATAAATTAATTCAACGCTTTTGTTAATAACACTGCCTTAAACGGAACAAAAAATATATATATATAACCGGTAACGTTTTTGGCAATGGCCTTTTCCATAGCACGCATATAGAGGTCGGACTCAGGTATGTACACAAACCTTAAAGGCCACCCACTCGTCATGTGTGGGTGGTATAATATGAACAGCGGTAGTGATATGACAATGGGATTTCACATTGTGATGTGATGGCGCTAAGTATCCCAGCCACAGTGGTAAATATTGAGGAAAGTTCATATTAAGTTAACTACTCCATCTCTCTAAAGGCCTCTTTAACCTTTAATTTTTGGTCACTGAGAAATGTCGGTGAAAGTGATGTTTGTACAATTTTTACGTTTTATGCACCAGGCATTTTTCGTGGATAAAATCTTTTTTTAAATGAAAGAAACACTCATCTGTAATACTCTTGATAATCATTTTTTTGTTACTTGTTTATGGAGCAGTTGTGAGATAATTTGGAATGACACCATGGCTTTATTCCACAAAAGTAATGTATATGTCCCAGGCACCAGCCCAGACTGACCAGCGTGATGAAGTATGTTCATACAACCCCCCCATGGCCAATTTGGTGTGGGAAGCCCTTCATCCAGCAGTGGGTTGAGAAAGGGGCTGTAAATTGATATATTGTGTAGGATGTGTATATCGGGTATTTATTAGGAATGGCAATAGTTTAAGATTTAGATTAAATATTTGGTTATTTTAGCTTTACACGTGCCATCACTATTGCAGCTGAAATCCAGTAATCCAGTTATCCAATAACTGGCAAATCCTCGTTGCTCTTGGGTTATCGGTGGTTTACGACAATTCACGCTATCCGTGACACTGCGGGCGGAGTGAAAATGGTCAGCAGACCGCGGCCAACAGAAGTGGGTCAGGGCTCACGCAGAGTTGCAGTGACAGCTACAGGGAAATGCAGAGGTAAAACGTGTATATTTTTTTTACTTGGCATTTTTATTTAACAAAAAAGTTTACTTTGTAGGTTAGTTGTGCTGATGTCGTTTGTTTAGTAGAAGAGGATTTTTGGTCTTAGAAAAAATTGTAACCTCATTATCCGTGCATTTAATTAATCTATTTGACCTGTGCCGTGCTTCCCCTGAAATCTGCAAAATGTTTACGGATTGATGGAAACGCACTGCTAGTTCATTGCATAATCCACAGCACACCGCATCTGTGTGAAAACATTCACAGATTGATTATGATCAATCTGAACCACACCTCATAACACAATGTGAACTGAAAGACATTGTCAGGGATTTGGAACTACCCAAGAGTAAGGCAGAGCTGTTGGGCTCCAGACTACAGCAGTGAAATCTCCTGGCAGGTGATGTTAGGGTTTCCATGTTCCGTGACCGTCAAAAGCATCTTGTCCCATTCTTCATGGAAGGTGATCTTGTCGCCAGCAACAACATCGATGGTGTGATGGCAGCCCTCAACATCGTTCATGATCCAGATGAGTGGAGACTGTTCATTGATTCATCGAAGATGAGTCTTAAAGCTGTTTTGCTGCATCATGGCAATGTTTTGCCATCAATTCCAGTTGGTCATGCAATCTATATGAAGGAAACCTATGACAACATGAAATAACTTTTGAGGTGCTTAAACTGACCAACATCAGTGGCAGCTTTAGCGGTTTGAAGGTTGTTGCTCTCTTGCTTGGTCTGAAGACTGGATACACAAAGTACTGCTGTCTTCTCTGCGAATGAGATAGTCGTGCGAGAGATTACCACTACATCGAGGTTAGATTGCCCACTCCGACAGTCATTGGAGCCTGGGAGGAAAAGTGTTCAGCATCCACCACTTGTTGAATCAAGGAAGATTTTGTTACCACCCTTACACACATCAAGCTGGGTCTGATGAAGAACTTTGTCAAAGCCATTGACAAAACACAAGCAGCTTTCAAGTACCTCCGTGGAAAATATCCAAGGTTAAGTGAGGCTAAGATAAAGGAAGGTGTCTTTGTTGGTCCTCAGATTCGTGAACTTCTTCGAGATGATGTATTTGACAGTGTACTGCGTGGCAAGGAAAAGAGGGCATGGAAGGCCTTCCAGTCAGTGGCAACAGATTTTTTTGGAAACAACAAGGCAGCTAACTACAGGGAGTTGGTGGAAAACCTCCTCAAGGCATACAAAAGCCTTGCTTGCAACATGTCACTAAAGATAATTTTTTTTTGCACTCTCATCTAGATTTTTTTTGCACCGAACTGCAGAGCAGTGAGCCACAAGCATGGCGAGCGATGTCACCAGAACATTGCAACAATGGAGAAATGCTATCAGGGCAAATGGAGCCCATCAATGCTTGCAGACCTTTGCTGGACAGTGACAAGAGATGCCCCATTTAATGAATGCAAGAGACAAGCCAAGAAGCGCTGAGTAGGCACTCAATAAGGACTAAACTATGTACTTGTATATACATAATAATTTTTAGCTTTTGTTTCATAATAAATGTTATTTATATAACCCTTTTGCTGATTTTTAAAGTGTTACATGAACAGGACAGGTGACATCATGTAAAACAACCATAAAGACATGAAAAGACATAGGTTTACAATTTATGAGTAAAACTCTATCTACACAACATATCTATAGATGTAAAATGTGAAAACTTAAATATCTTGGGAACAGTAACCAATCCGTTGTTTTAATTGCCATTTAAACTCAGCACATCCAAATCCATAATAAACAGCATATTTCATCTCTGAAGCAGATGACGTCTATGACATTGTAGACAAGTGTTATAAGTCTAACCTCCGTGGTGCGCCACGCAAAACAGAACCCCCGAAATTGTCCCACCATATCAACGCGGATTATTTGATTCCTGCTGTATATAACGTATTGTTTAGGTTGTATTTGAAAACTAACTTCTTTAGAAATACTTTTTGTGTTTCTTGTCCTCCCACATCTCTGATTAGTCTAGAGAAATAAATCAAATACAGCCCTATATCAGTCGACTGCTGGGTGAAGGCCCACTCCCCCATGCAGTGGGAGTGATGGAAAAAAATGTTTACAATGTTTTTTTTACCATACTTCACCACGTTGGTCATGACAGCTTTATGTAATTGGTTCACGTGATGCCCTGTGGCAACTAGGGATTGTCAAATTCACTAAAAATGTTGATCAAATGAATAATTTCTTGATTTATTTTATTGTGACCTTGAACCAGAAGTGAGAGCACAGTTACTATTGTATTTGTCATTCGTAAGGAACTGCAATCTCAATTTCACTAATTTCAGCTAACAATGCTACTTCATAACCCCAATTCCTTAACTGCTTTGCTCTCCCTCTCCCACATCAGGATGGTAAGAATCAATCACAGTTGACAAATGTGTCACATGATGGTGAAATTCGTCGCTACAAAACGCCGGGCAGATCCATGCTTGGTAGTTGCGCCTCTACTGTGAGCAACTGGTCTCGGCCACATTAAATGGATTTGGTTGCGTGGGGCGAAGTTAAGCAGCTGATCGCCTTAAGCATAACCCGGGCACTGTTTGGCTGTTCTGTTGTGTGTGCGTCACAGTGGTTCGTTGCCCCGTGTGTCAACAAGAGTTCCGCCTGGTGGATGTCCTCGATAACTACTTTGTGCGCGACGGCCCAGAGCAGCAGCCCAGCGCGACCGAGAGCACAAGCCAGGTGAAACCTCTCCCCCCCCCCGCATCCCTACCACGTCGCTGTAACAGGCTGCTGGGGCACGTGCTGTTCGCGAACACCTACAGTGGCGAACACGGCACATGAGGGAGCAGTGTGGCTTGAAATGCACCCCCGGCCACACAACGAAAACACTTTCGCTGCATTCCTCGTTCGTGCTCTGCTCTGAAGGAGGACCATTGTCCGAAACGCCAGCCAGACTCACTGTATATCATTTTCGTTGTATGGAAAGTTAGCCGATGGCTAGATCACCGTGAATGTGCCATTTTATGAGGTGATGCTGTGATGTGTCTGTGGTGTACAACCGTATTTAACAAACCAAAAAAACTCAACACATTCGCCAGTAACACTGTGGCCTTGAAGGGAAAATATATTACAGGCGACCTTTTTGGCAATGACCCTTATTCATGCCATGTTATTGGAGAGGCCAGAAAGATGGTGTGTGGTTGAGAGTTGGGAGACTGGTATCTACACCAAGGGGCTTGATGAGAATTAAAAACATATTTTCTGATATTTTTTGGTTCTTTCGGTAAAGTCACGTAGATAGAAAAATAATAACAAAGTTAATAAAACATCTAATATAAATGAATTCCTGCAGTCACGAAAGTTTTAAGTCAATATTTTCTGATGACCAGTCTTTTTTAAATAGGCATACAAATAGTTACTTCATAGTAGCTTTGGAGAAATCCTGAATGTGCCAGATTTCCCCAGTGGTAATGTTTACACACCACGCAAGGTAATCGTTTAATTCTCAGTCGACTTCAGGGAGGCCCAGGATGGGTTCAGACAATCGTCACCGATGTTGGCTGTGAGCGGGAATCGAACTCTGGTCGCCGAGGTCACAGCACAGTGCTCTAACCACTACGCTACCACTCCCCGTGTTCGCACCCAGGTACACTTATCCAACTCTTAGGATGCTGGTGAGATGTAATAATCTGCCGAGCACCTGCACACAAACTGATTTCATCGCTGCGTCTCCTCTGTGGGTGACTTCTCGGACAAGTTGCATTCCTTGGCGGCCGCTTCGTAGTTATCATTGGTCATCAGTCCATTTGCACCTACACTCACTCGCCCACAAATGTATACACACACAAGCACTCTATATACACACACATACATAATAATATCCGTACACATACCAGCACAACATCAACAACAGCTGCCATTCGCCACTGAGTGATAGTGACATCGCCACAGAAATTGTGCCAAGTTAGGCCGAGTTTGGGGCCATGCGAAGTATGGAAGGCTCACTGGCAGGAGGTCAACGGGACATACCCAGGCGTTATGGAGTGACTGAGAGATGACTGACAGATGCACCACCTGTGCTGTCTCCACTTGCTGCGTTTTAGTCACCCAGAGCTCCGAACACGTTCCTTCGGAGTAGGTAGGAACTTGGTTGGACAGCGCATTCGTGCACGACAGAAAGCTCGCGGTCACGTGACACACTTCAACCAATCCGGGAGCGTACATGTTTGGGAGGGGCTATGCACGACAGACATAATCCCTGGTAGGCAGTGTGGAACTGTTGTTCCTACCTGTATAATTATTTTCAGCGTTGCTTCTCTGCCCTCTGTTGTTGTTAGAGGGGGACTGCCCCCAACTTCCCAGTATCAGTGAGCAAACCTACCTTTTTTTTGTCTCTTTTTCCTTAAGGCGGCCGGGCTGGCAACATCACAACGCCGTATGGTGTGCCGCATTTAAAAGATGCTCTCGAGCAGCAAAGGTTAACGTTATCTCTGTGTGCGTTCATGTACATGTGCAACCCCATTTTATCAATCCATTACTAGATGAGGGCCTCCTTGTGGGAGCGTAAGGCAGTCTAACGATGTTTTTTTTCTGCACTGTCGTCTGCTGTTTACAATGCCCAATATGGCCCTCGCCTGGTTACATGTGTAACGGGTTCCGGAGACACTTGTAGAGGCAACTTCTTTATTACAATACAACACTCCAACAGTCCAACTCTCCAACAGTCCTGATACTCTGTTACAGCCTAGGTACACAGCCTAGCTACACAGCCTAGATACTCTACTCTGGCTACGCTCCGGAACTCGCCCTCACAAGGTCGTAGAGTCGGGAGTTCCAGAGTCCCAGCGCTGGCTCTCACAGCATCCCAGGGTCTTCAGATGGCTGGTCGTGGGTCTTGGGTCTTGAGTTACAACTGGGCCCCGATCGTCCAGGGAGCTCTTCTTTTATGCCTGGTCCAACGAGGGGTGGGGCCGTGTGCGCCACCAGACATCCCACAGAGCACACACAGCCCCCCCCCCGTTGGCGGCGCCAAAAAGGCTTAAGCGCCTGGGAACCCAACGCCTGGCGCCCAGAGGCTTAAGCGTCTGGACCCCCTGGGAACCCAGCGCCTGGCGCCCAGAGGCTTAAGCGTCTGGACTCGCCTGGGATCCCAGAGCTCCCAGCAGCCCCTCCCTTCTTATGTCACTACACATGTAAAGTTCATGTATAGAGCTTACACATAGTCAATTGTGTTTAACTAAGGGTTAGCACTGTTAGCACGGATACAAAGAAGGCAACAGTCAGTTATCCCAATGCGTTTCTATGTAGGTCACTTAAACACACTTCTTTGAGTGAGTGGAATGATTAATGAATGACTAGGTGCCTTAGCAGACAGACCGTGACTATTAGTTAGCCAGTGTGAGATGGTGAGTCAGTGAGAAAACTATTCTCCACTGAGTGAGTCAGCAAGTGAGTCATCGAGATACACATCCACCCACTGAATCATGAGGCCTCGGGTGGGGGAATGTACTGGCCACAGTTTAATTTCATACGACCCACGGGCTTCATTTACTACCTTGTGACTTAATTTTACATTTCCTGCATCTTCATTTTCACATGGCCCGCAACTTTATTTTACATGAGCCGTTCATTTCACATGACACGTCATTTCACATGACACGTGACTTAAATTAACGCCGCTCAGCTCCTTCATTTCACACATCCGTTTATTATGTCTGTGAGCAAAGCCTTCTCCGCTGACTTGAGTCAGTGAGTGAGTCATAGCATTACACATTCACCCACTGGAAAATTACACCGACAAGCCAGTCAGCCCATTAATCACCAACTGTCATGCTTTGCTATAATTTGATGTTCTAAGCAGGTAGTGCCAATATGGTCGCGGTGGTTATGATGACGATGATGATTATGTATCATCATCAGAAATGTTCAATGCTCTGCTGGATGGCCATCGCCACCTCTCACGATCTTGTAATACAAAAAAATAATTGGGTATTTTTAGTCCCCAATTCCACTTGTTGCTGTCAATGTCACGTCATGAGATGAAGAATCCATTCGCATCTCTCGCAGAAGCAGCGCAACCCTTCGTACTAGAGACCGGCTCGTAGAATTGGATATCACAAAATTACTTCTGAGACCCCTTCAAATGACCTCTGGACCACACAGTCAGGGGGTGGCACTTTCCCACTTGGCCTTCCATGGAGAATAATGTTGATTGTATGGCAGTCAAAACTGATCTTTTTAATTCTCAGATCTTTAATTTAGACAAATGAAGTGAAAAATCTAATTTTAATGAGATGGCTTTTTTGTCCAGTCATTGGTGACCACGCTATGACTTTCAAGTCACGACACTCTGGACTTGAACACAGGGAACTCTGGATTTGAACACAGTGAACTCTGGATTTGAACACAGGGAACTCTGGATTTGAACACAGGGAACTCTGTATTTGAACACAGGAGCTCAGCTGTATCCCAGCTCAGCGCTCTGATCTATAAGTAGCCCGGCCACCTCTGTGTCAGTTAAATTTGTTTAAACATTGTGAAGTGAAATGGAGCATGAGCACATTTTTTCCTCATCAAATGTTTCTGCTAGATGTCACATGATCAAAGATTGCAGAGGTCCTTCCATCAGCAGTGGCTTGGGCAAGCAATTGTAGGGCTGCACTTTTACCTTGTTATGTGGTCCACAAACTCTTTGCTTCACAAGTGGCAAATCAAAACTCTGGTTTGTGGTTGTGTTAATGACTGCAGCGTTTGCAGAGCGTCTTCACTAATTCGGTCACTTGCAACATCCGCGGTTATTGACTTGCACAACTGCCTCGTGGGTGATGTGTGTGCGGTTAACAGTGGTGAATGTGGGCACACTAAAATAGAAATGAAACATTCAAATATTGCTCGATAGAATCCGTTGTGTTAGATGTTGCATTTGTTCTCTGCGATGCGTCACCCTGCCCAGAGCAGCAGAGTATCAATAATAGCACTTATGCCTCACAGGAAGAAGGGCCTGGGTTCGATTCCCTACTCTGTGTGGAGTTTGTATGCTCTCCCCCTGTTCCTCATGGGTTTCTTCTCGAGTTCACCAGTTTCCTCCCGTCGCAAAAAACAACTTAGAGTTTAACTGGTACTGGCCAAAAAGTCCAATGTTGAAATATTACCAGCTAAGTACTTAATAGAGATTACACATAGCAAGCAATTACACATAGCAAGCGATTACACATAGCATGTGTAATAATAATAATAAACGTTAACATCCCTTCAGCAACTACTGCAAAGTGTAAAAAAAATAGGTACTTAAGTAAAAATTTGACTAGCGAATTCCGTTGCATGCCTTGCAGATGGTCCCATGCCCACCTCGTGACTACGCCACTGCACACTCCTCACTTAAGCTACAACGTGCTGGAATGTGTCTGTGTGTGGCCACGGAACTGTGGCCATTTCCCCTGGTACCCATGTGGTGGCCTTGCACTTTGCCAGCAGGAACCGGCAAGCTGCAAAGGGGAAGGGTGTTTTGGTCATTGATCTAGTTCCCGATCCGTGCGTGACCTCCTGACTTACCCACTCGCACCCAGTGCTCGCACGCGCCCTGATTGGTTGGGGGTGGGGGTTATCATGAGGTTTCGAGGAGCGGCAATTGGGCAATCGCTAATGTTTCCTGCCGGTGATTTTGCAACAAGTTTGCCGAAGCCCTTTGGTTTTTTTATGTTTCGTTTATCTTGTTGCCTGTTTGTATTTGTCAACATGTTTCCCTCCTGATAATTGTTTTTTTTACCCTTCTATCTGGCAACAAAACTGACACCTTTTTTACAAGGAGTCATGTTTACATAGACCACAATACCTGTAGTCATAATGCAAACAAAAAACATAACTCTGATAATGTGCACATTATCAGAGTTATGTTTTTTGTGCACATTAGCAGAGTTATGTTTTTTGTTTGCATTATGACTGCAGGTATTGTGGTCTATGTAAACATGACTCCTTTTAAAAAAAGGTGTCAGTTTTGTTGCCAGATAGAAGGGTAAAAACATTTTTTCATATTTTTACTGGCAAATGAGGTTCCAATGATGTTTCCCTCCTGTTCGCAAAGGAACGATTTTGACACGTCTGCATTTTGGCATTTGTTCCGAGCGCGATCCGCCAAATCCCGGTTTCGTATCGAGGTCGTTGTCTACTGGGAGACGCTGAGCCTTTTTTCTGCTATGTGAGGTGGCCACGAGATGGCGGTACAAGTGGCTTTTTACGACAATGGCTGTGCGGATTTCTCAGCGTTATCGCGTCGTAATGCATGGTGAGGTTTTCTCCAATTTCCTGGCGTAATAAAAAAGAGTCCTTTGTCAAAGCATTTGACCAAACATCTCAATGTGAACTCTGAACTGAAACTATAAAAACTAAACTATCAACCATTTAAACTATTTTTATTTTACCAGGTAAGGCCCACTGAGCTATGTAGCTCGTTTTCAGAAGCAACCTGGCCACAAATGATACATCAACGAGAAGTGGATTATGTTGAAGTTTATAGCAGCCAAATACTCTAAACGCACGATTCTAAATGTGGAGGGGAAATCCAGAGGACTCGGAGAATGCACGCGACCACGGGGAGAGAGGCGCGCAAACTACAAATACACAGGCATCAGGGTCGGAATCGAACCCACGACCTCCTGCATACCAGGCGAGGTAGTTAACATCTCGCTACCATGCGCACCCCAATGTAGCAATACCTTCCTGAAAAAGGTTATTGAAACTTGGTGATGCTTTCCTGGCGAGATGTGATCTCCCTCACCTGGTGTACAGGAGGTTGTCTGTATGATCCTGGACCCTGACGAGTCCCATGGTGGTCGCGTGGATTGTTCTCCACGTGCCTCCGGTTTTTCCCTCCACATTTAGAAACATGCTTTCAGGTTATTTGCCTTCTAGAAATTCACACGTTTGGTTATGATATAAGCCAATTCAATGAGCCATAATTCGTGGCCAGGTCGCCTCTGAAAAAGGGCCAATAGCTCAGTTGGCTTTACCTGGTTAGATACAATAGTAGTAGTTGTAGTAAATAAAGGGAATTGTTATTTCTAGACAATGCACATGAACATTGTGTGGATGTTGCAATGCCACAACATCTTGAATACGGCAGTGGCCCTGCTGACCAGCTGGTTTGTTGTTGCTGTGGCGGGGCAGGTGTGCACGAGCTGCGAGGATAACGCAGAGGCAGCTGGCTTCTGCGTGGAGTGCGTGGAGTGGCTGTGCCGCACGTGCGTGGAGGCGCACCAGCGCGTCAAGTTCACCAAAGACCACACCGTTCGCCTTAAGGACGACACCGCCGGTGAGGAGTTCGGGGGGCGCGGCAGTGGTGGTTGTCATGGTGATGGTAGCAGTGGCATTTGTTGAACCGGGACATTTCAGTGAATTGGTGTGGGGGGTGAATCGCTGTAATCGATCCGTTGATTGATCGATGACAATCAATTCTGTTAAGAGGGCCAACCAGGTGGTTGAGAGGTCAAAGTGCTGACCTGCTTCCACCTAGTTCCTGGGTTCAAATCCGGGTTTTACAGCCGCCTGCGTTTAAACCGAATTCTCAAGTGGAGGGAGGTAATGGTCTCAGCCTGGTCACCAATATCTGCAAAACAAAACAAAAACTATCACATACAAATTGGTTTCGCACTTATTTGTACCAAATTCAAGCCCTGGAGAATTATGACTCTAGTTTCAGAGTTATAATTATCCAGAGAATATCCGTGGCTACATAAAGAATAGACATGTCACTGAAAGGATTTTTTTCACGCCAAGTCCTGTACAAAAATCCCTTCCGCAACCATTCTGTGACACGAGAGGTGCGCTGCTCTGCGAGACTTCTTGAGGGTTGGTACTCATAATGAACCCTGGACGATGATGATGTTGATAATAATAGCAAGAACTGAGTACATTTGGTATTCGTGCGATTCTTCTCGCACTGGGCTATCACAAAGGAAGGCGCTGTGCTTCACAGACAGTGTGCAAGATCACAGCGTGACCTTGCTGTGCATAATCCCAATAATCCCAGTAATTTGCAGGTAATATTTCAAATTTGGACAATGATGCTGGCACGCAATGGGTTTATTTTTCTCGAATGACATCGCGGGACTTAATTAACGCACGCTGCGGAGCAGACAACGCTCGTACACAGGTGTACCATTAACCAGGATGGTCTTCCGGTTTCGAACAGCGAACCCCATCAACAAGCGGCCTAACGCACTGCCGCTGGGCCACGTCGCCACACACCCAAACGAAAAAAATGGCGAGACCTTTACAAATGTGCGCCACGTACCACCCCCCTCCCCCCCCCGTGTCACCTTCGTTATTGACCTGCGTCTACGTTTACCTCTGCCCGACGGTTCACACCGTGCTCCCCGCCCCGTGTAGACGGTTTGCTGGGCCTGTCGGGCCAGCGCCCCGTGTTGTGTCCCGTGCACAAGCAGGAGCAGCTGAAGCTGTTCTGCGAGACGTGCGACCGCCTCACCTGCCGCGACTGCCAGCTGCTGGAGCACAAGGAGCACAGGTGTGTGTCGGCTGCAGCCGGCACCTTCTGCTGCTGCTGCTGATTTGTTGTTTTTATATCCGTGGTCGCGTTGGCTCGTGGTATTTTAGTGTGCGCTTGTGCTTGTTGTTGTTTGTGGTCAGGTTGACTGGTGTTTTTGGTTGGGGGAAGTTGGTGAGCAGGGTTGAGCGTGATTGATTCAGTGGGCGTTATTGCTTGTACGTGTGGCTGTGAGAAAGTGTGCTTAATTGTAACTAGGGTTTAAAACGCAACGAGGTGGCAGAGCAGGATCCAAGTGGTGCTAGTCAGTCACCCTAACCTGTAACACCTGGATCTCCTTTGTGTCCACCCGCCAGCATGCCTTCAACACATTTCACACGTATGGTCTCAAAGTGTACCTAGTCTGGCGCAAGCGCCCCTCTGATGTCATCGCCACTTGGTGTTGCTAAACGACGGCTGTTGTTGCTGCGTGTGTGAGTACATGCAATACTCAGGTGGGTACTTGTCATTATTTTCACATAGGAACTTACGTGTGCGCGTGCGTGCTTTGCTTCCCGTCGCCCGGCAGGTACCAGTTTCTGGAAGAAGCCTTTCAGAACCAGAAGACCATCATTGAGACCTTTATGGCCAAGCTGCAAGAGAAGAGGAATTACGTCCAAATCGCCGCCAACCAAGTGCAGAACCGGTGAGGCCGGCGTGCTGCGTTATTGACCAAGTGAAAGATCCCCCGTATAGCTTGCACAAGGCCGTCGGGGCATGTGCTGTTAGCGAAACCACGTGTGAAGGCCACACTTGCACGAACGCACGTGCACGCTCTACTTCGACACGCAGACACTCGCGCACACCCATAACCGTAGTCGCGTGTGTACGTGTGCTCAGGTTGAACGAGGTGCAGGAGAGCAAGAGGAAGGTGGAGCACGACATCAAGGTGGCGATCTACACGCTCATGAACGAGATCAACAAGAAGGGCAAGGCCCTACTGCATCAGCTCGAGGTGGAGTAGCAGCAGGCACAGCCAACTTCTCTCCACACCGTTACACTCCTCCACGCGCCTCCGCACGCCTCCACAATGAACCGGTCGAATGGCTGAACCGGTCCTGGGCCTCCCTTCGGTGCACTCAACTTTAAATGAGTACCTGGTGCTGTGTGTGAAAATCAGCACTTGCCTCATGTGCCGTGTCGGCCTTCATAGGTATATCCTATAACAGCACTTGCCCCAAAAGTCTGTTAAATTGTTTACAGGGTATCTTTGTGTTTTATGTACATGTAGTGTAGTGTGTGTAAATGTACTGTGTGTGTAAATGTACTTTGTGTAAATGTACTGTGTGTGTGTGTGTACTGTGTGTGTAAATGTACTTTGTGTAAATGTACTGTGTGTGTGTGTGTGTGTAAATGTACTGTGTGTGTGTATTGTGTGTGTGTGTAAATGTACTGTGTGTGTGTATTGTGTGTGTGTGTAAATGTACTGTGTGTGTGTATTGTGTGTAAATGTACTGTGTGTGTGTGTATTGTGTGTAAATGTACTGTGTGTGTGTATTGTGTGTAAATGTACTGTGTGTGTATTGTGTGTAAATGTACTGTGTGTGTGTGTACTGTGTGTGTAAATGTACTGTGTGTGTGTATTGTGTGTGTGTGTAAATGTACTGTGTGTGTGTATTGTGTGTAAATGTACTGTGTGTGTGTATTGTGTGTAAATGTACTGTGTGTGTGTGTGTATTGTGTGTAGGCCCTGACGGGGGAGCGGCAGTCTCGGCTGCAGGCGCAGCACGGGGAGGTGATGCTGCTGTCCCGCCAGGTCGACCACGTCATGAACTTCGCGCGCTGGGCCCTGACGGCGCACAGCAACTTCGCTCTGCTCTACAGCAAGAGACTGGTGCGACGCCGCCACCACCGCCAGCGTCACCGAGATCATCATCAGCATCTTCGTCGTCACAGTCGACGTTAATGTCCTCATCATCAACATCAGCTTTTTTGGCACTACCATCGTCATTGTCACCATCTGCACCGACGCTCGACTATGTCCACTGCAGAGAGATGGAGCGATGCCACCAGCCCGTGTGCAGGAAGAGCCAGATTGATTGTTCCGTCGCGATAGCGTGAGAGGTGGCGACGGCCAGGGGGGGGGAGGCCTTCATCCAGCAGCGAATAGATCATGGCTGTTGCTGATGATGTCGATGTGGTTATTGTTAACATCACCAGTGTCTTTCGAAGAAATGATGGCTGGTGGTCAAACACTAATCTCCCTTCCTGGATTCTCAATTGAGACCTGGAAATGTTTTACGTGATGACGTTTGGCATATTCCTAAATGAAATGTGCGTCCTTTGCTCAATTTGCTTGTAAGAGCTTCCGACACTCGCACTTGTGGCGGTTTCGGGTTGGAGTGTCTGGTTTCACGAAGACCTGACGAGTGGTGGCCGTCGTCTGTTTCGCACAGATCTTCTTCCAGCTGCGCCGCGTGCTGCGAGCACCTTGCGATCCCACGCCGGCGCTGAGCGGCGGCGTCGTCAGGTTTTACTGCGACCCCAACTTCTGGGCACGCAACGTCCTCAACCTGGGTGCGTGAGCCTGCTGCACCACTGCTGCTGCACCTCTGATACTACCCCCTACTGCTGCTGCACCACTGCTGCTGCACCTCCGATACTACCCCCTACTGCTGCTGCACCACTGCTGCTGCACCACTGCTGCTGCACCACTGCTGCTGCACCACTGCTGCTGCACCACTGCTGCTGCCCACTGCTGCTGCACCACTGCTGCTGCACCTCCGATACTACTCCCTACTGCTGCTGCACCACTGTCGCTGCCCCACTGCTGCTGCCCACTGCTGCTGCCCAGCATTAATGCCCACTGCTGCTGCCCACTGCTGCTGCACCACTGCTGCTGCACCTCTGATACTACCCCCTACTGCTGCTGCACCACTGTCGCTGCCCCACTGCTGCTGCCCACTGCTGCTGCCCAGCACTACTGCCCACTGCTGCTTCCCACGGCTGCTGCTCACTGCTATTGCCCACTGCTGCTACCCGCTGTTGCTGCCCACTGCTGCTGCGTTCTGCTGCTTCGCAATGCAGCTGCACACGGCTGCACACTGCTGATAAGGATATACGGGGAAATTTTGCCTGTGTATACATATATGCGTATACATGTGTGCGTGTGTATGTGTGCGTGCCACAGGAACACTGGTGATGGAGAACCCTGTGACTGGGCCCGGGAGGGATGGACCCCAATCTTACATGACCAATCAAAGTGCGGGGAGCATGGCTCCACCCTCGGCAGAGGGTGGAGCCGGCAGTGGCGGTGGGGCACAGCCAGGTGAGTTGCGTGACCGTTGGCAGAGCCCTGCGGCCAATCACTCTAAAATGCGCCCCATCTCAGAGTCTATGCGGAATTATGTCTTGTCCCTCTGCATGGGAGACTGTCTAAGCATTACTGGCTGTTGTAGGCTTGGGATGCAAGGTGGCCCAGAAGATTTGCAGTCCTGCAATAGTTGCTTGAAACGATTTGTGCGGAGAGTTGAGTGTCACCCCCTCGTGTGCGTGTTGGGTTATCTCCCGCACGAATCCAAACTCATTCCTGAAATTGGCTGAACATCCCAAATAGCTGCACCCTTATCAAAAGAGTCTTCACACTCTACACATTTCCTGGATAAAGTTTTTTTGTTATTAAGCTACGGTTAGCATCATTGTCATGATGTCATGCTGATGTTGATAATGTTCATAATACGATGCTGGCAGGTATGATAATAGTTGATATACGGATTGCGACGGTGCTGATGATGGTAACGTTGCTGATGATATTGATGGCACTGGTGAAGATGTTAATAACGATGCTGGTAATTATGATAATGATGGTAGTGATTGCTGATGGTAATGGTGATATTATTGATCGTAATTTGAAATGACCTAGATAAAGACTGACACTGGTGTTGATGACAATGGCTGTAACATAAAAGGGTTTGCCGTTGTTGATGTTGATGGTAGTGATCAGGATGATAATGATGACAATGTTGGTGATAAGGACTGATGCTGATTGTGGTGATGACATTGACATCGCTGATAATGATAACTATGGGAATGGTGACTGACACTGATAGTGTTGATGGTGCTGATGATTATGCTGGCAATGATACAGCAGTGGCAAGCCATTTCCAACAGTGTTAATTCTAGTATTGATGACATCGACGATGATGACGATGGCGATGATGCCTTTAACAATGATGATGGTCGTGGGGTGATGTCAGATGGTGGCAGTCGTGAGGGTGCGTGATCATGATGGCGGTGATGTTTTTGGTCAGGCCAAATCAACCTGGCGCAGCTCCGCCTGCAGCACATGCAGCACCGCCTGAGCCGCCTGGCCGCCTCCATCAGGCAGCCGTCCTCCCAGCATGCACTGCAACGACCGCTCACCTCCGTCCACATGGTCAACCAACAGCCAATCATCCTGCAATATCATAGTGCACAGGTAACCCTCGCAGCACACGAATGACGCTTATTATTATTTCTAATAGCAAATATATTTCTACCATGCTGTCGAGATTATCAGACCCACTTTCCCCCTCCACCCCTGTATTTTGAAGCAGAAGTTGGGGGATGCATCTTCTAATCGGGTATACGCTTTGTCTGCAGAGCGTCACGTGATCACAACTGATATACGAGTGCTTTGGATTACAAACACGTTTCCGGAACGAATTACGCTCGCAATCCTAGGTTTTACTGTATGTGTTTAATAGGTCCTCGCTAACAGTACCTGCCTGTCCCAGTAGTCTGCTAAAGACTTTCGGTGGGGCGGGGGATCTTTGTTATATAACTGTGGTACCCCTGTGTCTCCCTACCCACCACACAGCCCCCCAGGCTGGTCACCCTGCCCCCCACTTCACGGGGGCCCCCCTGCGGACCCCTACCCAACCCGCTGCAGCAGCTGCAGCAATTCTCCACGGGATCCATTCCCGGGGGGTCAGCGCCATCCCACTCCAGCCAGCAAGGGGTACCCCCCCAACTCATGCGGCAGGTGAGACATGGTTGGGGGACACGGGGGGTGGGGGGGTTGGAGGGGATGGAGGGTGGGGGGGTCCACCTCACGACAGCCAACTGGTGGGGGAGGGGGCACATTTACGTGTGGTTTTGTGTGTATGTGGTGTTGTGTCTGTGTGGTGTTGTGGTTAGCATGCTGTGCTACGAACCCAGCTACCTGAGTTCGATTCCCACTCACAGCCATCCACAGTGAGGATTATTTGAATTAATACCTAGTGCTTTACGTAAACATCACCACTGGGGAGGCAAAGGTGGCCAGGCGTGGTGCTGGCCACCCACCCACAAACCCCTCCCCGCCCCCCCCCCCCTCCCGCCCCAGTGCCGGCCTTCATAGGTGCTTGCTAACAGCACTTGCCCCAACATTCTGTTCAGGCTCTACGGGGGATCTTTATCTTTGTTTGTGCTCCTTTTTCAGCACTCTGTGGCGGGTGGGGGACCTGGACCCCCGGGTGGCTCCCACCTCTCCATGGGTCTCTCATCAATCCCGTCCGTCACTAACCCAGAAAACCTACCCACGGTACCCGACATCCCTCCCATACAGGTGAGCTCGTGGGCACCTGTCCACACACACACTAAATACAGCTGCTCCGTCAGTAGCCTTGCTTACGAGCACTTATTAAAAGCTGGCTCGGCACTCTGGGGGCGGGGGGGGTGGTGTGTGGTTAGCACCATGCTCAGCCAACTTTGTGTCCCCGGTGTCGGTGTTTTGACACGCTGCGTTATTGTTTCTCTTTTAATGCCGAGTCAACCTGGCAGAGGTCCAGGACCGGTTCATTTATCACTCACTTCGCCGTGACTCGAACTCGGGTGACTGACTTTGTAGCACGGACGCGCTGGTAGCCACCAAACCGCCGCTCCCTCCCTCACCATATATATATATATATACATATTACTCGGGATTTTTTTACTTAAATAGTTTTTGACTTAAAAATTACAGACGTTTGACTCTTAAGGACATGCATGTCTGTGAATGTGAACGAGTCACTGCGTACGTATCCACGCGGGCGCGTGTGTGTTTGTGTGTGAAGCGAGATTGGTTAATCACTCGCCCCCCCCCCCCCCCCACTCTATCCTCTCACAGCTGGACGAGTTTGGCGGCATGCTGCTGATGCGAGACGGGCCCCCCCCCGGCCACCTGTCCCACGGCGCCACGGCCGCCCCCCCCGCCCACCTCTCCTCCCCGGGGTCAAGCTCGCAGTCGCCCCATCCTCCGCCGGTGCAGTCGCCCAACCTGGGTGCATCGCACCTGCACGGTAATTTTGAAACGCGGTTGTGCCAGGGGGTGGCGCAGCGACGGCAAGGTGGAGCGCAGTGGGAACATCGGTGCCTCACAGCGGTGAAGGGACCTGGGTTCGACTACAGACTCGGGTACCTCTGCGTGGAGTTTGTTCTCCCCCTGTTCTCGGTGACCCGAGTTCAATTCCCATTCACAGCCACCAACACCAGTGAAGATTATCTTAATCGGTCCTGGGCCTCCCCTAAATCGGCTCGGCCTCAAATGAGCACCTGGTCCGGTGTGTAAACATCGCCACTCAGGAAACAAAGGTGGCCGGGTGCGGTGCTGGTCACCCACCCCCCCTCGTGTGCCGTGCCAGCCTTAATAGGTGATCGCTAACGGCACTTGCCCTGACAGTCTGTTAAGGCTATATGGGGGGGTCTTTGTTTGTCTGTGCCAACACAGGGGCCGTCAACTCCACGTCTCACATGGCTCCCGTTCGACCCTCAAGTGCCTCCAGTAACGGCAGCCGAGCCAGGTACCATCACTCACCCCCTCGGGCTATCACTGCTGCTCATCGTCCTCCTCCTCGCACTGCTTGTGTGTGTGACAGTCGTGCTCATGCCTGTGCTTGTATTCCTGTGCGTGCGCGTGTTTTTTTGCGTGCCTCCGTGTGTGTGCGCGTATTTGTGCATGTGTTCCTGTGTAATCCAGCAGTGATAGTTGACAAAGGATGGAACATTATTATTGCTCTTGGTGTTACTTCACGCCCGAAAACGCGCCGAACGCCGCTCAATTCCGCGGCCTGTGCACGACACATCTGTTCCCACTTGCCCTCCCATAAAATAGAACATTTAAGAAGAAGAAAAAATCCGGTTTATTTTACTCATTATTTCTTTTATTTGCTAATTTTCTTATGCTATTCGTTGCACACGGTTACACTTCATTTTGCTCGGTCGGTGTCAGCCACCGAGGTTGTCACAGAGTTTCTTTTCTCTTTCCTGTTGCTGTACGCCCCCCTGTGCCGTTCCCGTCCCGTTGTAATGTGCACCGATGCACTACTTGATTGAGGGCGATATTGGTGCGTAAAATACATATTGATTGATTTACTAAACGTTCTTCTATGCTGCAAATCCAAGACTGCCAATTCCTAATGTATGTTCACGCTCGGCACGCCAAGCTGCTGAGCCACCCTGATACAGCCCAACAGAAACCAAAACAATTCCCCGCGCAATGCCAGTCACGCCGTAGGGAGGCCTTCATCCAGCAGTGGCTTGACGAAGGGGCCTCCCGGACTTTTTCAAATAAAAATTAATATGTTAACGAGCGGTTATTTTTGCGTGTCCAACAGTGCCATGGGCGATCCGCTGGACCACATTTCCATCGTGAAGGTGGAGCAGGTCTACGTGAAGCAGGAGCCCGGCACCACCGCCAGCCACGGCAACGCCTGCCGCCACTCCTCCCCACCGCCGCCACCACCGCCGCCGCAGCAGCAGTCGCACAGCAGCGGCAGAAGCAGAACTGCAGGTGGCTCGACAAAAACAACAACCACCACCAAAGTGCGCATCAAGCCGGAAGGCAGCACGCCCAGCAAGCGGCGCTCCTGCATGGTGAGGCTGGCTGGGGGGGAGCGGTGCGTGCCGCGCTTGCCAAAGCGAACGATGCCGTGTGGCACTCGTGTGTGTGTGTGTATCTTCTTGGTTCTTTCGGTAAAGTCACGTAGAAGGGAAATAATAAAATAATAAAAATAAAACATTCTAAAATTATTCTCACGACGTTTCGGCCACAACGCAAGCAGCCGTCTTCAGGTGGTGAACAGGTCTGCCTTTATTATGTTTTATTTTTATTATTTTTTTATTTTCCTTCTACGTGACTTTACCGAAAGAACCAAGAAGATGAATCCCTGCAGTCACGAAAGCTTTAAATCGAAATCGTGTGTGTGCATATTTTTTTATCCGGCCGGGTGGTTCAAAAGGTCAAGAGCGCTGAGCCTGGCACTTTCAGTGGCAGCATGAATCAGTGCTGCTCCATAATGTCCCAACCATGGGTCACTTGAAGTGATCAAAGAGATGGCTGTATGATGTCCACTTGTGCAGATGGTTCTCTACCACAAAGGGTTGCACTGCTTTGTGTACTTTCCAAATGTATTGTTCGTCTCTGGAATTGATGCCGGTAGCACCGATGGGGATGAAATTTAGAAAATAGTTTTAATTATTATTTGTTAATAAACAGACAATCGCTGATCCCTCAACGGACGGCATCTTTGTTTCTTCTTGCATGCGTGAACCCGACACTCACCGCGTGTGCCCCTGCGTTTGTGTTTGGTTTTATGCTTCCCCCTACGCGGCGATGGTGGAAGCTCGGTTCTCGCGGGTCAAGCCTCACGCCCCCGACCTCTAACCCCGGCTCTGCTGAGGGGGCTGGGGGAGTGACGAGCGGCAGCACAGGAAGAGGGGGAACAGGTGGGAGCCGCTGGCGGAATATTCGCTTACTCTTTCTCGTCCCAATTGGTTTCGTTCATTAAATTATACTCGGTTTTTAAAGTCGGTTGGATGGTAACAACGTAAGCTTGCTTGCAAACCTCTTAAACCTGCTCACACAGCAAACATATAAAATACATGTATTCGAAAATTCTGTCCTTGAGCGCAATGGCAATATGTTTTGTGCGTGGCAAGGCGGCGGGGGCGAGGCAAATGCCTCGGCGGACGACGACGACCCGAACGAGGACTGGTGCGGTGTGTGTCAGAACGGAGGAGACCTCCTCTGCTGCGAGCGGTGCCCCAAGGTCTTCCACCTGAGCTGCCACGTGCCGGCCCTGCTCTCGTTCCCCACGTGAGTGGGCTCGCGGTCTGGTTCGGGCGGGCGGGTTCGGGTTTGCGGATTTGAGCGGGTTTGGGTGGGCGGATTTTGGGCGGGTGGATTTGGTTGGGTTTGGGTGGGCAGATTTGGGTGGGTTTGGGCGGGTGGGTTCAGGCCGGGCGTGTTTTGGTGGGTTCTGGGCAGGTTTTGGCGGGTAGGCACGGCCAGGGGTGAGTGGTCGGGTGAGCGGGAGGGTGAGCAGGGGGGGCGGGTCAGTAAGAGGGCAGGTGAGCGAAGAAGGCGGGTGAGCGAGTGATCGGGTGTGTGAGCGAGCTAATTAATATGTACTCTCATGTGCTCGCTTTTGTGTCCCCATTGCTGGTGTTTACACGCGTGTTCACGGTTGTCCGCTTCGGTCTAGAAACCATGTGTTGTCATTAGTATGATATTGCTGCTTTTGTTAATGAGTGTTATCTCTGCTCCCCCGCTGCTCACTGCTGCTCACCGCTGCTCCCTGCTCAGCGGGGAATGGCTGTGCGCTTTCTGCCGGAGCGTGGGGAATCCAGAGATGGAGTACGACAGCGAGGATCAGCAGCATGGGCTGGACGGGAAGCGCAAGACCCTGCTGCCCTCTCCGGGGCTCTCCGGGCCCGACCAGCGTGTACGCATGCAACAAAGATCACCCGTATCGCCTTAACTAAGTGCTGTTGCCGAGCGCCTTTTGTGAAGGCCGGCCACGGCACACGAGAGATCAGGTGGTCAGCACCTTGCCTGGCCGCCTTTGTCTCCATAGTGGCGATGTTTACATATTGCACCAGGTACTCATTTGAGGCTGAGTTGACCTAGGGGAGGCCCAGGACCCATTTCTGTATTCTTTACTGGTGTTGGCCGTGAGTGGAAATCGAACTCGGGTTACCAAGTTCGTAGCGCAGCGTGCTAACCGCTGTACTACCACTCCCACTACACTAACACATGTACAATGGCAAAGATCCTCTGTGTAGCCTTTGACAGTCTGTTGAAGAAAGTGCTATTAGAGAGTACCTGGTGAAGGCCAGCACACCACACACAGGGGGTGGGTGGCCATCTCCACGTGATCACAAGCACGCATGGTCACACAGATGCCAAGGCACAGGCACGTGATCAGAGACACACTCAAGCTTTACATCGGAAGTCACGGCTGAAGCGTTTCAGTGCAACTGTATACCCACGCTCGCGTGTGTTTTTTTGAGTTTACGCTGGCGTGTGTATCCGTGTCTGTGCATGTGTGTGTGTGTGTGCCTGTGTGCAGAAATGTGAGCGGCTGCTTTTGCACCTGTTCTGCCACGAGCTGAGTGCGGCATTTCACGAGCCCGTCAGCCACTCGGTACGCAGCCCGATACACTCACCCTACGCGTGTGCGTGTGTGTGCACCATAAGTTGAGGGCAGAGCTCCTGTCCTGTTAACAGCCCTAGACCAGTGGTGTAAATTTCCCATTCTTGTGGCGAATGCGAGTTTATCCATCGGATAACCCCCGTTGACTTGCTCAAAAAACGGCACTCATCTTATCGACTCGGGAGGGATTGTGAATCTACGTGCCATGCTCCCCCCCCGCCCATCCTCCCCAACCATGATATGTACACAGTTGCTCGTGTAAACGCGGTGTAGACATGGACGTTTGTGCGCTAACGCATGCGTGTGTGTCCATGTTTGTGTGTGTTTACGTGCGTGCATGTGTGTTTGCGTGCGTGCACGCTCTCCAGGTGCCTAGCTACTATAAGACGATCCGCAAGCCCATGGACCTGTCGACCATCAAGCTGAAGCTGCAGAAGAAGCACATGGATCACTACCACACTCCCGCCGAGTTCGTGAGCGACGTGCGGCTCATCTTCAAGAACTGCGCCAAGTTCAACGAGGTGACTGGTCTCTGGCGCTTTCACCGTTATCGCGTTCATCGCAGGAGCAATCATGGTCGTGGTTTGCGCAATCGTCACAACCAGTGATCGTTGCCATCATCACCGCCTTGTTAATCTTCTTTGACGCCCATTGCGCCAGGAACTGGAACCCCCGCCCCCACACTCGAGTAAAGCAAAGAGGTTTCCCCTTTCTGTACCCTGTTAACCAAAACCATCCCTTCCCCCCCCCATGCCCTATTAACCGTAATCGTGTCTGCGTCCCCCCCCCCTCCCCGTGTGTCTCCGTTGTGCGCGCAGCCTGACTCGGAGGTGGGCCGTGCGGGCCTGTCCGTCCTGTCCTTCTTCGAGGAGACGCTCTCCCGGCTTTACCCGCAGCTGTGCGTGCCCACCACGCCGGCGGCCGTGTTCGGCGCAGACGGCCCTCCCACCTCGTCGGCGTCATCGTCGGCGTTGACGACGGCGGTGACGCAGCCACCGTCGCCGCCGCTGCCGCCGTCGTTGCTGTGGCTGTCGTCGTCTCCGCCGCCGCCGCTGCCGCTGCCACCCACGCCTCTTCGCTCGGCCTCGTCCTCTTCCTCGTCGCCTCCACGGCCGTCGTCGGTGCCGTCGCCGAACCCGGCCAGCGCCACCTCCTCCTCCGTGCCGACCTTCGCCGCCGCCGCCGCCGCCGCCGTCCCCCTCGGTGGAGGAGGGCCGGGAGGGAAGAAGAAGGGCGGACGACGGAAGCTGAACAACAATGACGATGACTATCACGACGACGGGGAAATCGAGACGTCTGACGAGGACTTTGAGCCTCGGCGGAAGAAGCGTGCGGGGCGCGGGGATGAGAAGCCGGTTCACATCAGGTGATGGAGGAGCGCAGTTTGACTCAGGGTCCGCTGAGTGGCTTCGGCGGCTTGGGGGGCCGGCGGGGGGGGGCACGCCGTGTGTGCGAGCATGCATGGGGTGATGTCAGCTCTTCATTGTGATACAGCCGGCCGGGCCATAAGAGATTCATTGGCTCGATACTAGATTGATTCACGTGGGGAATCGGTGTTGAGTTGCATTAAGATTGAGTCCGATAGGGGGACGTGTGTAGATTTGCTTTGTTTTCGTTTGTATCGTTACCACCGGCGCTCAAGTTTTGACACGCAACATGACCATGAAGTGAGTAATTGTAGCAAATACTGTTACAGGCTAATGCTGCCACGTGGGGGTATGCATTAACTAAAGCTTTGCATTTTAACTGCAATGTTACTTTTAACTCGGCCCATCAACCCTAGAGGGTCAATAAAATATGTCCCGCTTTGTGGGGGAAGTGAAAAGTGGTTGTCCAATGAATAGCCTTGCTCCCCCACCATAGTAATGTGGAATTCTCAGCCACGTCTCAGGGCTGAACACTGGAGATTTAAACAAAAACCTTGGTCTTGCGAAAGTATCTCGCTTGGAATGTATTCTTTCAGAAACATAATAAAACGGTACTTGCTTAATTTTAATGGACCACTTGCAAACCCGGAAGAAAGTTCACTTTTAATCACGGTGTTCACGGGAACAGGTTTAACGATGTACGTGGTTACGTGGGTGTTGTTTGACCATGCTTCACCTCACGGGTCGGTGAAGGGCTGGGCGCATAGAGTTCTACATTTCCCTCTGCTGCCTAGCACGCGGCCCCATGGCCTATAACGCCTGTTATGCACCGCGGCGCGCTATCCAGTCTCGGCCCTGAATAAGCGTCTTGAGATCTGACGAAATGGGCCACACATTCCAGATGGGCTAAGGCCTACTCCTGTAAATGATCAGCGCGTTTGTGACCCGATGCCTGGAGACTCAATCCAGTGCACCATTTAAACAATTACAGCGGCACGTCACTAGCCCCGACACTGACATCCCTTGCGCAGGGTCGATGTGTGTGACGTGAAAGTGGGTTCAGATTCATGTAGGGTTTGAAACTGAAAGGGTTTTTTTTTCCCGCCACAAATAATTAAACTAGTCCCACACTCTGTTGGTGCTATTTTGTTTTTCTTGACGTTTTATTCACAATTTATATTTTATTGATAACGTTTCTTCAGATTAACTAGTCTAATTAAATGTATATTTTTTGTTATCAATGAACCATTGTATTTTACTCAACCAGATAAAAAATCATCATATGTTCAGTTTTAAATACTATTTTGACGTATATATTTATTATTTACAAAACATACTTTTAAACGCTACCGTTAAAATTGTGACCTTGATTTCACGTTTAGTTATTTTACTATCTTCTATAATTTGTTTATGTTTAGGATATCTATTTTTTAAAAAAAGGTAATATAATCGCCATTCATTTGAAATTCATAATTTTGTGTATTTTTCTTTTGCTAAATTTTATCAAGTTTCTATTTAATGTTCCCAAAACTCACTCATTTAGCGAAATTTAAATGTTACCGCTGTTTGTGATATGTGTGGACCGAGCGATTTTTTTTTTTTGTGTCGCAGTGAGTCGGCCACAACGCTGTGAACCCCGCGACCAGAGTTCAGCCGCCAGCCACGGCTAACATCAGTGGGCGAGTGATATCTGAAGCATTCCCGGGGCTCGCCTTTCACCAGCCAAGCACTGCCAAGTGCGGTGTGGTCAAACAACCCCTAGTATGGTCAAACAAACCCCTATGACACGGTGCGGCATTCATCCAGCAGTGAATCGGCAAAGAGCTGAACACGATTAATTTTACATCGTTGTCAAATGTTATCGTTGTGAATCCAAAACTGCCATCTCCCACGTTCAACTGCTGTATCGTCACACTCGGCATGCGAATCTGCTTGGTGACCTAGTACAGCCCAACATATTTTCCAAAACTCGACACCATCGTCGCACAGCCCAATCGCAGCCTATCCGAGAATATCACCGTCCCGAGGCTCATCGTGGTGCGTCTCTACACCTTCCTGAAGCGGAGTGGTTGTACAACCATATTTATCCAAAGCAGCTTTCCAACTGGGTCCCGAGCAGGGTTCGCAAACACCTCTCTTCATCCAGCAGCGAGGTGGAAAATGGTTGCCCGCTATGACGAGCAAGCGACGCTCACCGGCAAAACAAGACTTTTCTCGCAAGCGACCGGTTGTGATTCGGATGGAACGAGTCGAACTGTTTCCGGCGGCATTGGCGGCAGCGTAAATTCCACATTCCTTCGGCAGGAGACAAATTTGTTTGCATGATCACCGCCTCACGCAAAGCGATACACGTGTTATCGGCCCTGGAAGGACCGCGGTGGTAATAATGACGATGTCAGTGCTTTGATGTTACCAGCGACCGGGAATTGAATCCCGCTGTATATATTTGTGTTTACTTGTGAAGACCGATGCTCAGTCGTGGGTTTCAATCCAAACAAACAAAACGCTTATGACAGAACGATACCTGTTTCACGCTGAACCAGAAACGGTCGATGTTCCGACTGAGAGGCCTTGCTCAAAAGGGCTCGCATCATCACCAGGATCCCAAGCCTTCTCCTGCTCAGCGAAGATTTAAACAAACACAAGACTTGTGGAACCCATTGCCGGTCCGACGGCATAAATGTCCATAGACCTTGGTGAACGAATGGATATTTAAATGCACCAGCGGCAGATTCCACTGATATTTACGGAGAAAGATCAATCGTGTATGTGTGCATGTGCGAACGGTATATATGTATGTATATATTAGGGATGTATTCCTGATTTTATGATCCTGGACATTTGAGAGTTTTGGATCCGTAAAAAAAAGGAAATCTGATCGTTGCAAAAATGTAATTTCACATAAAAGTGACTTCATTTATTTGTGTTACGAAGTGATGTCACTTCCATGCTTTTCCTGCCAAAAGTGCCAGCGTTTAGACGTTAGGTGATGTGACTTGTGGGTAAATTATTTAAATATAACAATTGTTTAATTCAAGTTTTAGTTTTACTGTTGGCATTTTACGTAAAAAAAATTACTAACGTTTAAAATTATTAAAGAGGACTTCATTTTGTGCATAAACAATAAAAGTTATTCAAGTGGAATAATGTTTTATTTATATGACAATATGAAATAAAATTTGCAAATTGCCCCTAGTCAAAAAATCATATCTAAGAACGTGTAATGATAAGCTCATCCCTAGTATATGTATGTATGCACATGGCAGCTGAAGTGCATTGTTGTTAGAGATTCTGCGTCTGTTGCGTGACTTTCAGTGGATTTTAAACGAGCATTCTATTTGGATTTGTAAAATATTGTTTATATTTATCACCATTCAGTGGGATTGGCCAACGTGACGGACCGGGGTTCTGCATCTGACGCAGTGATGAGGTTTCTGTACCGGATGGAGCCAGGGTTTTAGATTTTGAATGTCACGGATTTCGTATGGAAATTAAACGAGGGTTCTAGTATCGGATAGTTAGCCGTGACCAGTAATTCACAACCAGATTTTCATAGCTGGTTTAATTTCCTTCCGTTGAGCCAACAGATAGCGGATGTATCACTCTCGCTGTTTCGTGTATGTACGTATCTACTGAATTCTTCGGATTATGATGCACATTCCCCCCCCCCACCCTCCAATATTTTAAAGCCAAAGTTGTGGGAGTGCATCTTGCAATTTGGGGAATTCGTGTCTTGTGCAATGCACGTGTTGTAACACAGCCGTTCAGAATAATTTTCCGGAAAGCAGTTCCTCCGTAGCGATTGGACAGAAGACGCCACCGGCCATTCAGAATCCACATCCAGAGGGGCGTCTCTTCAACCCCCCCCTGCCACCGTTATATTAAATTGGTGCTAACAGTTCTATACATGGGAGACAGCTCTCCACGGTACACAGCTGATAGCGCCACTCGGCAACTGATCGCAGTGTCTCGCGCGCGCGCGCGCGCGCGCGTCCTCTCCTTCACTCGAGCGAGTGCGTTATTGACGGGAGACATCTCGTGTCTGTTGGGGGGGAGGGGGGTCCGCTTTGGAAAGTTGCCGCCGCCGCCAATCGCGATTGGTGCTGTGGCTGACGGTGGGCGGCCATCGGATCATGTTAGCGGGGCGGTGAGATGGCCAAGCGTTGGCGCGTTTGCCCCCTGTCGCAGAGGTTCGCGGTTCTAACCCCACCCCCCTCCCGGCCGTCCGGGTTAACACTGCTGCTGTTCTAACTGTGAAATATTTGCCGCCTGCTTCACGGGGGAAGTTAAAGACGTTTGGGAAAAAGGGGGGGGGGAGGCCTTGTGTGCCAGTGGTAATGAACCAAATGTGAAGAGATTACTTAAATATCTGAATTGAGTAAACCAGCCGTAACATTCGCCCCTCTACCGGCAGACGAATGCTCACTTTCAATCCGGTGCTGTGTTCACCTTGTGCCACACAGGATGAGTTTAAAGACGTTTGTTCCCTTATGGGCACAATTTAAATGCAAGTTGTTGGTATTGTGTTGATGGGCGCGACATAGCCATGAGCAGAGAAACGGGACGAATAGGGTCAGGGGTCAGGGTTAGTGGCAAGAGTTTGGGTCATGTACACCCATTGGTTGAAGCGGTATTTCTCAAGGCCGTTTGGCTGCCGTGACTGGACCAGTAATACTGGATATTTTTCGATTTAAAGCTTTCGTGACTGCAGGGATTCATCTTCTTGGTTCTTTCGGTAAAGTCACTTAGAATGGAAATAATAAAATAATAAAAATAACACATAATTAAATCTCACGACGTTTCGGCCACAACGCAAGCAGCCGTCCTCAGGTGAAGACCAGGTCTATGTGACTTTACCGAAAGAACCAAGAAGATGAATACTGGATATCCCAAGCACCATCCCGAGGCAGCCACCACGCTAAGGCTTTCCGAGGTTGACCAGTTCACCCTCGTTCAGATACATGCTGGTCTTGCCTGATGATAGCTGAACCGTTCGGTGCACGGCTCACAGGGCATTGGTTCATTTGAATCGGAGCTCCCTTTGTCACGTAGTAGAACAACAACGGCTGCCATTCGACGCGAGGCGCCGGTGATCACACCAAAGCACTTGCATCAGGCTCGGTGAAACAACCAGTGTCTCATCAGTTTGGAACCGCATTACCATTTTGGACACACAAGATCCTAATTGAATCGGCGCTCTACGATATGGAGGACACAGACATAGTGGTGGTGGTGATGGAGAAAGGAGGTGGTGGTGGTGGCCGAGGTTCAGGCCAGCTTGAGTAGTCTGTCGATGTTGGTGCCATTGCTGTGGTATTTTGACACTGAAGAACTGAATGTCTTTGCTCAACGTCACAATAATCCCTTGTTTTCTAAGTAAGTGTACCCTGGTCTGTGTGGACACGTGTGTAAGGGCATGTATATCTGTGTGTGTGTGTTTACCTGTTTGTATCCGAGTGTGAGTACTGCACCTTGGTGTGCGTGTACAAATCTGCGTGTGTTGTGTTTTGACGAGTAGCTATGTGGCATTCTATTCTATTTGTAATTGTGGTGCACTGGCCCAAGCCCTATCCCCTAACTCCACCACGTGACCGTGAATGTCGGTTGCTGTCATGAATCTCAATGGGGGGAAGAACACCCCCCCCCCCCCCCCCATGATGGTCGATTTAGACATCACATCCGTTGGTTTGTGGGTTTTTATTAATCCATTGCGCCGTTTTAATAAGCAGGAACCCCACCCCATTCAACACTAAGGGCTCTTCGCAAGCAACCTGCAAGCCCAGGAACGGACGGGGAGACCCCCCCCCACACCCGTCTTTCAATTGACTTTCGGTTTTCACGCGGAAAGTCACTGCAGATTTCACCTGTGCGCTGTGAATATACCCCCGCGATGACGGCACTGGAGCGCTACGACTGGGCGCTCCAGAAAGTCGATTGGAAAGTGTGATTCGTTTTGTCAACAGAGGTTGAAGTTCATTTTGGGGAGAGCCCCCCCCCAACAACCCCCCCCCCCCCCCCCCCCCACTGATCCGAACACGGTGATCGTTGTCCGAGTCGTCGTCGGGGCTGGCAGTGATTTTATGGGGAGAGAAAATGAAGTTAGAGGAGCAAAAACGGAAGTTTATAAAATGTTGACCAATGCCGCGTAGAGGTAGGCTGCGTAGGAGTCTGTAATAAGGCAGATTTGGCGAACATTTTGGATTATTAACGAGCCGACGTTAGAAATATTTTTTACTGTCGATGTGCGTTCGTGCGTGCTTAGCCGGTGTTATGAGTGGCATCCACCTCATGTACACGAATGGTGAATGAGTAAAGAAACGATGAGTGACGTGGCTTGGGAATACATTTAACCTTTTCATGCCGCATGGTTAAAACGACACGAATCGTAATGTAAATAAATAAACGGCAAGTTTGAAAGTGATTTTTTTTTTATTGTGCTTCGTGTTTTGGCGCAAAAGTCCATTGCTGGTAAATTTTGGCCAGAATTTTTGTACCAAACCTGCGGTAAATTGCAGCACTTTTTCGCCAAACTGAAACCTTGTGTTGTTGTGGCCAGCTTGTAGGGTCCCACTGCTAGACAAAGCCTCCCCATTCCCCAAGTTGCTCCCATCCTGTGAGGTCATTTTCAGAGCGTCACGTTCATTTCCAGCGAATGAGCCTTTCGGAAAAAGTAGAATTTTTTTTGATAAAAAATAAGTAAGCATTTTCAAAACGTTAACTGGAGAATTTTTCTCGGTGATTGTATGTATGTTGAACTTATTTTGCGCCGAACGTAAGCCAGCCTTGCCGTGCTGAATAGGATGTTCTAATAGTTTCTACACCAAATAGAGAATACTTGTTTTTCCATCAACGTATGAATAATACATTTGCATTTTGTAAGATGTACATAACTGTCAAGGAGGAATATTCGTTTGCTGTGGCTGGGCCCCAGTCGCCATGTAAGGTAGCCACTGTTGACTTCCTCCAAAGTGGTGGTGCCTATTTTTATCAGAATCATATTTATACTGGAGGAATCCGATGAGCTATGAAGCTATTTCCCACAGATGTCCATTAGAGGAGGATAAGCACGTTACAACAGCAATACAAAACACGATAGTCCAAAGTCTAAGAAAGATAAACATCACCCAAACACATAGAAATATAACTAAACCATGCCAATCCTACCAGGCAAAGCTCACCAAAATATTAACTTATTTTTCAGAAGCGACCTGGCCACGGTCGATAGCTCAATAAAGTGGCCCTATCATTTGGACATTTTTATAGCGGCTGAAAATTATCTGAATAACTTTAATGCAATCCTTCTAGAGGGGATGTTGAACTGTAAAATTACGCTCCAGTTCTTATGAATGTTTTTGCAAAACGTGAACCCTTGGCTCGAGTAAAAGTCGTTTTGGTAACTTTTCTTCGTAAAAAAATTGCTTGTAAATGTAAACACTTTTGAGTCTCGTTATTATTCCTAGATTCATTGTCGAGTTATTTTTTATCGTTAATGTTTTTCTGTTTTATACGGTATTGCAACTTCGTCTAAATGTTTCTGCTCTTCTCAAAAGTGTTGGGATTGATTTGAGCGTTGAGCCTTTCAGAAAACGAGAAAAATAAAAACAATCTGAAGCGTTTTTAAGTGAACTAGAAAAATAATGTCTTAATTACAAGGCCCCAAAAAAATACTCAATGTTACGTTGTGGTTTGTAAGTTCACAGTTCAAGTTAATAAAGCAAATGGAAAACAACACGCAACACCGATTCTCTTAATAACCTAAGGAATTGTCTTTTGTTTTATTCGTATCAAAAGCAGATTTTGTTGATACGTGAGTTATCATCATCACGCGAACTCCGGTCACCGCATCACGTGCTTTCAGATGCGCTTCTGCGGCCGTCTGGAACGCTGTTCTGCTATTAGAAAGCCACTGGAGCAATGCACTTTTAAATCGAGATTGAAAGCTTATTTCTTTCGAACTGCTTTCTGTCTTTAGTTTGTTGTCCTTTCATCGCACCTCCGATTAGCACGGTTGGCTGCGTACAGTGTAAAAGAAGTTCAACATCCATACATCTGCCATGATCAATCCACTGCTAGGTGTAAACCATATTCCTTTGCACACAAGTCAACCCCTCGCATCACAACGCAATGTGTGCAGAGAGTTCATCGCTTTTCACTGAAATAATCCACCCCGATCCACAATAAGGGGCCATCCATCTAGTAGGTACGCAAAAATCTGTCAACTTGACCCCTCCCTGTACTCACGTGAACTTTTTCACACACCCCCCCAACCTGCGTGCGTACGCTTGACGCACCCCCCCCCCCCAAATCCTCTAGAACGGCCGATATTTAATCCACGCAGAAACGATCAAGGATTAATAATATTAACGTGTTTAAGCAAACATAATCCACCGCCGGCTGCATGAAATAATTAAGTTGCCTACCTTGGCCACTTATTTTGCTGAGCTGCGTGATAGCTGCAGTCAGGGGCACGGTGGCACACAAGTGACACCTCTCCCACAGTCCCACTTCTCCCAGAAGGACTTGTTGTCTGACAGCTGAAGAAACTGAACTGTGGCTCATTTGAAGGCCAATGTAGACACATTATCGAGGCTTCACCCCCCCCCCCCCCCCGTTTCCTACGTACATTGTCAGTAGACCACCATACGCAAGCGTACGCATTTGGGTGACCCCCCTCCATGCGTACGTACTAAATGGATGGCCCCTAACCTGGAGTCCCGGTCGTGACAATGTGACCGGAAGGAGCTACACGTGGATGATTCCTGGTGGTGCTGGCCAGGCCACCTTTGGAAAGAGAGTGAGCGGAGGCCTTTGACCCTTGGTGCTCAGACTATTGGAGCAGTTCATTCTGGTGATAGGTACCTCCTTTATTTATCTTCTCGTCTTAGGCGAGATCTATAAATGCTCATTGGTGTACTGTGGTTAATCGGCTCCTACTTACGAGCATATGTTCAATATTCACTTCTGTAACAATCGGGGTATTGCCCTTAACATCATCAACATAAAACAACAAAACTCCATCTCCTGTTCCTAATGGAAATAGGGTCTTACCAGCAACTGACCTCACAATGATCCCCTCCTGCAGCCTGGGAATCTCTCTGGATCAAATGTCGACTGCGTATTCAACCAGGGATATCACCCGTTTCTCACAGCCCTGATGTTGAGTTCTCTGGTTCTCATTCTCTGTGCCTCTGCGTTAATCTCCCTTCACGAAATTCACTTGCTGTTTATCACTCACAAAACCGAGAACCACTCCAAACCCTTCTATCGTCTTACTACCCCCACCACCACCAAAGAGAAATGATATACCAGCAACATCCTGGTGGAGATCATTGTCCTTGGTCAACAAGGCCCTGAACTAAAAGGGAGGCAACGTTGCTGGCAGAAAGACTGAAGCAGCAGTAGGAGACTGCACACTGCACCACACACACACACACCATGTGGCCCTGATCAAAATTAAACTTGAGGAATGTTTTTAGATGAAGTGGGGAGGGAACAAACGTGCTCGGTTGTATAAATTGAAAATGTACTTTATTGTGACCTTGATGTTCAGACGATGATGAAGATGATGATGATGATAATGATGACGACAACGGTTACAACGGTGACGCCATCCCAGTACACACTTTAACGTATTTCTCCGGTCCGCAAAATCCAATTTGGGTGATAGGAAATTCGCAAAAAAAGCACTTTAACATCCTTCCTTGCAAACGAAGCCAATAAAGAGAAAGAAAAAAAGAAATACATTAACGTTTAAAATAACATGGACAAAAATAATCCCAAACTTGGCAGACTTTGTTGTCGGTTAAACGCTTCGCGGGCCTCATCTTTTTTTTATTACATCTCATTTACGCCAAATTATTGAATGCGGCTGCGCTTAAACAGACGGCGAACGTGCGAAGCCATTTTCTTTTTCCGAGCGAGCGTCGCCAAAATGTGTCGGCCGCAACTCCCTCCGGGCCGCCCGTTGCGTTGGCAAGGTGAGCTGCGAGCGAGATTGCCCGCGTCCGAATGGGCGAGATGCGGCTGACATGTTATCAGCGACTTCACCGGCGACACGGAGGGGTGGGAAGAGCACGCGCCCGATTGGCCAAATCGGCATCGAGCTCGGAGGAGACTTCCACCAATCGCATCCCGGCCTACGATCGCTTTAGGGAAGCAACCAGCATCGACATCGCGTCGGGGAAACCGTCTTGTCGAGACCGGGTCGCCCAACGGGGCCGCGGTTGCCCAACAGAGGTCGGGGGGGGGGGGTGTCTATTAGTGACTACCAAAGCCCAACCGAGGCCCCGTTCACCAACAGACTCCGATGTCTGACAAACTGGTAGAAGCGAGCAGCAAATCGCTCCGCGCTCAAACACAACGACGAGATCTCACTCGGAATAAACGTCACACCACGCTCGCGCGACCTGCCCCGGTATCCCACCCCCCCACCCCCCCACCTTCCCCCCACTTTGCCCATCCATGGGAGAGGCCTCGCGACTGCTGGGGGGTGAAGGCAGGCGGCGGGCAGCGCGCACCCCCCGCCACCCGCTCCCCCCCACATCCCACCCCTACTTGAGACACCGCTCAAAGTAAGTGGAGCCGATGTACCCCCCCCGCATGGAGCGATGGACGTTCTGCTCGAAGAGCTTGCGGTTGCTCTGCAGAACCTCGGCCGCCTCCTTGTTCAGCGGGTCCTCGGGGTTGGGTTCCTGCCACGCGAGATCGAAAACACCGTCCTCGTCAGTCACGATCATCTATCCCCACTTGCGGGATGAAAGCTTCCCCCTACCCGCCCCCACCGCAAGCCGCTGCCACCACCTCGTACAGCTAGCGCCCATTGCAAGAGCCGAATTTGTCGCTCCGCCCCCATGCAAGACGTTGTCTCGGGCGAGTGGTGGATGCGGAGTGGTGGATGAAAGAAATGGTGGTTGTGGTGAGTAGTAGGTTTGGTGAGTGGTGGATGTGGCGAGTGATTCTGCTCACCAGGAATAGGTACTGTAGCCCATATATAATTGAGTTTATCGTCAGCACTGGTTTCCAGTCCTCACTGCAAACAAACATCATCATCATCATCACCACAACAATCTGTGGGTTAGCAAGTTGCTCGATTTGAAGCATGCGTGGACAGGTGGGGAGTGAATGACTGGGCAAATCAGTGGTGAGTGCTACCGTGTGCAAGTGAGTGGGTGTGCAACCGTGTGAGTGGCTATGCAGATGGATGTTTGTTTGTAGTGGAAGCATAGCTGGGTGATTGTCTGGGTGAGCATCTGAATGAGGTACCGGGTATGTAGCTGCTTCATATGTGGTGGGTGAGCGGCTGGATGAGTAGCTGTTTGGCCGAGTATGTGGACGGTGAGTGATCGAGTGGCTGGGTGAGTGGAAGGTTTGGTAGCTGTATATGTGGACGGTGAGTGATCGAGTGGCTGGGTGAGTGTAGGTTTGGTGGCTGTGTATGTGGTGGGTGAGTGATTGAGTGGCTGGCTGGGTGAGTGTAGGTTTGGTGGCTGTGTATGTGGTGGGTGAGTGATTGAGTGGCTGGCTGAGTGAGTGGAGGGTTTGGTGGCTGTGTATGTGGATGGTGAGTGATTGAGTGGCTGGTTGAGTGGAAGGTTTGGTAGCTGTGTATGTGGACGGTGAGTGATTGAGTGGCTGGTTGAGTGGAGGGTTTGGTGGCTGTGTATGTGGTGGGTGAGTGATTGAGTGGCTGGGTGAGTGAGTGGAGGGTTTGGTGGCTGTGTATGTGGAGGGTGAGTGATTGAGTGGCTGGTTGAGTGGAGGGTTTGGTGGCTGTGTATGTGGTGGGTGAGTGATTGAGTGGCTGGCTGAGTGAGTGGAGGGTTTGGTGGCTGTGTATGTGGTGGGTGAGTGATTGAGTGGCTGGGTGAGTGAGTGGAGGGTTTGGTGGCTGTGTATATGGAAGGTGAGTGAGTGGCTGGGTGAGTGTAGGTTTGGTGGCTGTGTATGTGGATGGTGAGTGATTGAGTGGCTGGGTGAGTGAGTGGAGGGTTTGGTGGCTGTGTATGTGGTGGGTGAGTGATTGAGTGGCTGGGTGAGTGTAGGTTTGGTGGCTGTGTATGTGGATGGTGAGTGATCGAGTGGCTGGGTGAGTGAGTGGAGGGTTTGGTGGCTGTGTATATGGAGAGTGAGTGATTGAGTGGCTGGTTGAGTGGAGGGTTTGGTGGCTGTGTATGTGGTGGGTGAGTGATTGAGTGGCTGGTTGAGTGGAGGGTTTGGTGGCTGTGTATATGGAAGGTGAGTGAGTGGCTGGGTGAGTGTAGGTTTGGTGGCTGTGTATGTGGATGGTGAGTGATTGAGTGGCTGGGTGAGTGTAGGTTTGGTGGCTGTGTATGTGGATGGTGAGTGATTGAGTGGCTGGGTGAGTGTAGGTTTGGTGGCTGTGTATGTGGATGGTGAGTGATTGAGTGGCTGGGTGAGTGTAGGTTTGGTGGCTGTGTATGTGGATGGTGAGTGATTGAGTGGCTGGGTGAGTGTAGGTTTGGTGGCTGTGTATGTGGATGGTGAGTGATTGAGTGGCTGGGTGAGTGTAGGTTTGGTGGCTGTGTATGTGGATGGTGAGTGATTGAGTGGCTGGGTGAGTGTAGGTTTGGTGGCTGTGTATGTGGATGGTGAGTGATTGAGTGGCTGGGTGAGTGTAGGTTTGGTGGCTGTGTATGTGGATGGTGAGTGATTGAGTGGCTGGGTGAGTGTAGGTTTGGTGGCTATGTATGTGGTGGGTGAGTGATTGAGTGGCTGGGTGCGTGAGTGGAGGGTTTGGTGGCTGTGTCTGTGGTGGCTAAGTTATTGAATGGCTGGGTGAGTGTAGGTTTGGTGGCTGTGTATATGGAGGGTGAGTGATTGAGTGGCTGGTTGAGTGGAGCGTTTGGTGGCTGTGGCTACCGCAGGATGTTGAGACAGACGTTGCCCTCCAGGTCGATGTTTGGATGATAAACCTGCGTCTCGCACTTCACCTTGGGTGGGTCGTGTGGGTAACCCTGACCCACCTGAACAGACAACCACACACAAACACAATGCGGTCAGCGAGTGCCTATTAAGGCCAACAAAAGACATGGTGAGGCACCTAACAAGCACCACTAATGTGTGGCCACGTTTGCCTCCCCACTACTAATGCTGACCCACACTGTTAACGCCACTCATTTTAGGCCAAGTCAACCTAGGTGAGGTCTCACTCATTGGTGATGTTCATCATGGCCAAGAATTGAACACGGGTCGATTGTATTGTATTACAGTTGTAAACCCGAGGCCACACACAGACAAAATTCCCCATTTAGCCACGCAGACTGTCAGGGTCAGTGCTCTTAACGAGCGCCTATTAAAGCCAAAACGAGGCACAGAGAGGTGGTGTGGCCAGCAGCACCACACCCCGCCAGCTTGGTCTTCCCAGCACTGATCTTTCCACACAGCAACAGGTACCCATTTTAAAGCCGAGTCAACCTAGGCGAAGCCCAGATTCTCCGCCGATGTTGACCTGAGCGGGAACAGAACTCAAGTTTCCCGGGTTCGTAATACAGTGCACGAACCACTACGTTGAGCGCTCCCCCGTTTGGGCCACACACACGCAACGCACACACACTCACAAACACATGCTTGTTTTTTAACTTTCACCGCTGCTACTTTACCTTAAAACTGAACACAAACTTTCCGCCTTTGTAAAATCCCTGTGAATGGAAAAACAACAGAGTTGAGACACGTCCTTTAAAAAACACAAAGTCAAGAAAACGGTTGGAGATTCGGTGAGCCATTGCCACGCAAATTACACTTTGATGTCAACACAGAGAGCAGAGAAGCAGAGGCCAGAGGTGGAAGCCGCGTGCAGGAAAGTCCAGCAACGAGGCCAGGAGACAACTGTTTAACACGATGAGTGGTGGAAGGATGGAACAGGCTGCCCACACACGTGGTGGAAGTGGATTCTAAAGTAAACTTTTTTTTTTATTTTAACAGGTAAGGGCCCACTGAGCTATGCAGCTCTTTTTCAGAAGCGACGTGGTCACAAAGTATAGCTCAACAAAGTGGCTTACGCGAAAATGTAAAGCAGCCAAATACTCTATAAACGCACGTTGATTCCAAATGTGGAGGGGGAAAAACGGAGGATCCGGAGAAAAAATTCCAGGCGACCACGGAGAAAACATGCAAACTCCAAATATACAGCAGGCGTCAGGGGTCGGGATCGAATCCACGATCTCCTGCATATACCAGGCAGAGGAAGATAACATCTCCTATCCACCGTGGCACCCCATTCACCGAGACTTCACGAAAATCCCCAATGAGATTCTAGGACCAATCCTGCTTCTCCGAGCAACTAAACGAGCCACGTGGGGCCGAATTGCCCTACCCAAACCCCCTCGTTGGTAACCCTCCGCGTGTTCTTGCGCGACATTGACACTGCGCAAAGTTGTGAATAAGCACGGAGAGACGCATGGAATTACACTTCGAAGAACACGTGGATGTCTGTACATTATTAAATTGGGAACATACAAAGATGGAAATTGCCGCCCCTTGCAAACTAAAGGTAATCCCGTCATCTAACAGTCTATGGACCTCTTGGCAAAGTCGACCGTGACAATGAAATCAAGTCCTTCAACCAGCAATGGATAGACGACTGTGGCCCGCTTGCTTCGCATAATGATGATGGTAATGATGTTTACTATACAATACTCACCTCATCAGGGCAAATGACGAGTCTAAAGTTAAGAAAATCGTCTGGGTCTGGAAAGACGACTTCACACGTCTTGGGCAGATTCAGTTCATTTATATCTGCGCACACACATACAGAGACACACACACAGACACACACACAGACACACAAAGAAAAAATGTGGCCCGTAAAGCCTTTGATAGACTGCTGCGGAAGTCATGTTAGCGAGCACCTATTAAGGCCAACGCAGCACAACCGGGGTTGAGTAGCCATCGCCACACCCGACCACCCTCGTCTCACCAGTGATGTTCACACACCGCACCAGGTACTCATTTAGGGGAGGCGCTGGACCAATTCAAATAATTGCCACCGTTGTTGCTTGCGAGTAAGAATTGAACTCGGGCCGCCGGGTTCGTACGCAGCACGCTATGAGACCTCCTTTACCAGTGGCAATGCTTACCCTGAGCTCTCAAAACTCTGATAGTCCACTGTTTTTGAGTTGTACGCCTTTTGGCGTCATCTGGTCCAACACCAATGGAGACTAGGCTCTAAGGAAAGCTGTCTCGGGTGTGGACCAATCAACTTCAAGGACAGTGCATATCATTACCATTATCAGAGTTGTTTCTTTTTGTTTGCATTTTGACTGCTTGTGTTGCGGTTATTGCAAACATGATGCCTTGTATAAAGGTGTCAGTTTTGTACCAGTTTAAAGGGTAAAAACCTACTACTATATTTCGCCACTGGTAAAGGAGGTCTCATAATGGACAAGCGAGTCGTATACACAACGCCCTGCAACATGGACAAGCAGTGGGTTCGCAGAGGTTGGCGGTGCGAATCCGGCAGGCCGCACTGGTTATTACTACTCGCTGGTCCTCTGGCTTTTCCCTCCACATTTACAAACATGCGCTTCGACTATTCAGCATACCTCTGTCAACCCCTTATCAGTGCCCCTACCTTATTACAAAACAATTCAGACTTTATTGGTCTCCCCCGTGCCCCTTATAAGCTCAACGTTCAACCTACACAGCCTCATCGCAAGGTAGAAACACAAAGCAAGACAAAAACTAATTTTGTTGCCCGTATTGAAACGGCTGTACACCGCATGGACCTGAAAACGAAATTGGTATGAAAACATAAAAATTGGTTTTACTTAGGACGCTGTCTTTCCGACAGCTCTGTTCTTCACCTGAGGACGGCTGCTTGTGTTGTGGCCGAAACTTCGTGAGAATGTTATTGTTTTATTTTTATTATTTCCCTTCTACGTGACTTTACCGAAAGATCCAAGAATAGGTTTTACCCTTTATGGCAATAAAACAGGCGTTAAGATGTTCAAACACCAAATCGCTACCTTTTGCAAGGAATCCTGTCTGCATTAACCACACGTACTTGTGGTGAACATGCAAACAAACATGCTCTGATAATAATGTATGCATTGTCTTTGAAACTGATTGATCTACACAAGAGACGGCCTTCTTTAGCGCCAGTCTCACCAGTGTCAGACCAACGCAGGTGAGACTAGGCCCTAAACCTATTCTTATTTTTCATACTTTGAAACTGGCAAAAATAAAAGTTGTCTTAGTCTTATGCACAGCATACCCCTTACAGACCAATTCAGACTTTGTTGGTCACCCCCAGTGCCCCTCATCAACCTCAACGTTCATCCCACAAAGTCCCATCACAAGCGAGAAACACAAACAAAAACATGTTTTTTTTTGCCCGTATTCAAACGTCTATACGCCATATGGACTTAAAAACTAAATTTCCCTGTGCAAGAACACGGGTAAACCATCACAGGTATAATTTAGATGATGTTGCTGCTATAAATGCCCTAAACGATAATACCACTTTGTTGCGCTACCATTTGTGGCCAGGTCACTTTTGAAAATCAAGTTAATGCCTCAGTGGGCATTGCCTGGTAGGATGGGGATGATTCTAGATTTGAAGTTTTCATGACTGCAGGGATCCATAATCTTTGATAGGGATGGTTTAGTTGAATTTGTATGTGTTTTGAGTGATTTCTTTACCTTACATACTTTGCACTAGTTTCGTGTTTTTGTCGTATTGTTTGTTTGTTGTAACGTTCGGAGCCCGTGCCCCTACTGCGCATTTGTCAAAAAGGGCGCTTAATAGCTCATCAGATTTCACCTCCAGCAAAAATACAATGTCCTGAAATCTGGAATAATCACGGGCCACGTTAAAGATACTCCCCCCACAGAGCCTGACAGGCCATCGTGTGCAGGACGTGACGGTGCCAGACGTGCGACATTTGAAGAAGAATAAAATAATACTGGCGAATGACTGTGAATGGGAAACGCAGCATTTGTAATCGCCATAGTGTGAGGAATGCGAGCAGGAACCTCCCGGAACAACAACAACAACAAAAAAGAGTAACGAGACTCAGGGAGGACTTTCCCAACGAGTAAAACAATCGTAAGATTAATACGACTGCTACCGACTAGGACGTAACGCCATGGACAGAAATGTAACGGAACGCCACGCGACGGGGGCCACGTAACGTAACGAAGTAACGCGGAGAGGCACTCGCGCACATTCAAACTGAACTAAACAGCGAATTGTAACGCAGAGGAACGAGGCGGGGGCCGAGGTAACGACGAGGCCGGGGGGTGGGCGAGGTAACGACAAGCGGGCGCGAGGGGGGGGGGCGAGGTAACGACAAGCGGGCGGGGGGGGGGCAAGGTAACGACAAGCGGGCGGGGGCGAGGTAACGGCGGGGCGAGGGGAGGGGCGAGGTAACGACGATGGGGTGAGGTAACGACGAGGCGGGGGGGGGGCGAGGTAACGACGAGGAGGGAGGGGGGTAACGAGGGGGGTAACGAGGGGGGGGGCGAGGTAACGAGGGGGGGCGAGGTAACGAGGGGGGGCAAGGTAACGAGAGGGGGGGCAAGGTAACGAGAGGGGGGGCAAGGTAACAAGAGGGGGGGCAAGCTAACAAGATGGGGGGCGAGGTAACGAGAGGGGGGGCGAGGTAACGAGAGGGGAGGGGGGAGGTAACTAGGGGGGGGCGAGGTAACAAGGGGGGGGGCGAGGTAACTAGGGGGGGGCGAGGTAACGAGAGGGGAGGGGGGAGGTAACTAGGGGGGGGGCGAGGTAACAAGGGGGGGGCGAGGTAACGAGAGGGGGGGGCGAGGTAACGAGAGAGGAGGGGCGAGGTAACAAGGGGGGGCGAGGTAACTAGGGGGGGGCGAGGTAACGAGAGGGGGGGGCGAGGTAACGAGAGAGGAGGGAGGAGGTAACAAGGGGGGGGCGAGGTAACTAGGGGGGGGCGAGGTAACGAGGCGGGAGGGGGGGGACGAGGCGGGAGGGGGGGGGGGGACGAGGCGGGAGGGGGGGGCGAGGTAACTAGGGGGGGGGGCGAGGTAACGAGAGGGGGGGGGCGAGGTAACGAGAGAGGAGGGAGGAGGTAACAAGGGGGGGGCGAGGTAACTAGGGGGGGGCGAGGTAACGAGGCGCGAGGGGGGGGACGAGGCGGGAGGGGGGGGGGACGAGGCGGGAGGGGGGGGGCGAGGTAACTAGGGGGGGGGCGAGGTAACGAGGCGGGACAAGGTAACGACTAGGGCGGGCGCGAGTCAACGTGATGACGTTTAAAGGGTAACGAGGTAGGACGGCCGGTACCGATGCGGCTTAAAAAGTAAGGAAGCGACGCGGCGAGCTAAACGACGATGTTGGTTGGCGCCATTGCCTTTGGTAACGCGCAGTTGCGCGGCCGACGCCTTCTTGGAGCCGGCCTTGGCGCCACTGGCTTCGTCATCCTTCTTCTGCTGCTTGAGGGAGAAGAGCTTTATCATCGCAGGGCGGCGATGGGGGAGCCGGGCGAGACAAGGAGGAGCAGGGAGACGACGACGAGGAGAAGGAGGAGGAGGCAATGACGACAACGAGAAGGAGGAGGAGGAGGCGGCGAGGCCCGGCCGCGCCGTCACTGCCACAAACAGCTGATCGCCGGAAATTCGGGTCAAGGGTCAAACGTCACCGGCTCGTTATTTTGCTTATCGACGAGTTTAAATGTGGTTTTTTTTATTTGTTTAAACCAACGAGCAAGGAAACGCCCGTCGCCTCAGCGCCGTTTGGTGCCGTGGTGGAGAAATTTGAGTTTCGGTTAAAAAAAAAAAACGTTTTGAATTTAAGCTGCGAGTGGTTGGCGTGGATCGATTCGGTTGATTCTGAACGATTACGATTCGCGTTCGCAACTGAGGAGTCGATTCTTGTGCGGCTATCAGGGGGATCTCAAGTCGGGTGAATTTTCAGACTATAAAAAAGTACTGCGGATCCGTAGTAGCGATTAGCCGCTATTGAACTGCATATTTAGTATGAATCTGAGTGATTTGCGTGCTTGTGGAATCGATGGAATCGATTAGAGGGAATCGATTTATTGCTGGTTGCTATAGTTGCCATCAGTCAGTTGGGGCCCTTGTAAGGACCCCTTCACGGTGCCTGTCAAAACTGAATTCCGCACCTTAATATTTATTTGTAAGATATTAATAGCGGCAGGGGTGTGTGTGTTAATAATTCTAATATTTCTACGTTTACAATTACGATCATTTCGGTGTACTAATTGAAGCCAAAAAAGCATTTTGTCCGGCGGTCTTAAGTTCACCTGCAGGCGCGGTCCGCGGGCAGCTATAAAAAAAGGCGGGAAAAGTCAAGACGAGGAGTGGACGGCGCTAAGGTGGAACAAACATTTAACATTCTGACGATGTTATCAACACAAACATTTAACATTCTGACGAGGTTATCAACACAAACATTTTACTTTCTGACGAGGTTATCAACACAAACATTTTACTTTGACGAGGTTATCAACACAAACATTTAACTTTCTGACGAGGTTATCAACACAAACGTACTTTCTGACGAGGTTATCAACACAAACATTTAACTTTCTGACGAGGTTATCAACACAAACATTTAACATTCTGACGAGGTTATCAACACAAACATTTAACTTTCTGACGAGGTTATCAACACAAACATTTAACATTATGACGAGGTTATCAACACAAACATTTAACATTCTGACGAGGTTATCAACAAACATTTAACATTCTGACGAGGTTATCAACAAACATTTAACATTCTGACGAGGTTATCAACACAAACATTTAACATTATGACGAGGTTATCAACACAAACATTTAACTTTCTGACGAGGTTATCAACACAAACATTTAACATTATGACGAGGTTATCAACACAAACATTTAACATTCTGACGAGGTTATCAACACAAACATTTAACATTATGACGAGGTTATCAACACAAACAGTTTACTTTCTGACGAGGTTATCAACACAAACATTTAACTTTCTGACGAGGTTATCAACACAAACATTTAACATTATGACGAGGTTATCAACACAAACATTTAACTTTCTGACGAGGTTATCAACACAAACATACTTTCTGACGAGGTTATCAACACAAACATTTAACTTTCTGACGAGGTTATCAACACAAACATACTTTCTGACGAAGTTATCAACACAAACATTTAACATTCTGACGAGGTTATCAACACAAACAGTTTACTTTCTGACAAGGTTATCAACACAAACATTTAACTTTCTGACGAGGTTATCAACACAAACAGTTTACTTTCTGACGAGGTTATCAACACAAACAGTTTACTTTCTGACAAGGTTATCAACACAAACATTTAACTTTCTGACGAGGTTATCAACACAAACAGTTTACTTTCTGACGAGGTTATCAACACAAACAGTTTACTTTCTCACGAGGTTATCAACACAAACGTACTTTCTGACGAGGTTATCAACACAAACATTTAACTTTCTGACGAGGTTATCAACACAAACATTTAACATTATGACGAGGTTATCAACAAACATTTAACATTCTGACGAGGTTATCAACACAAACATTTAACATTATGACGAGGTTATCAACACAAACATTTAACTTTCTGACGAGGTTATCAACACAAACATTTAACATTATGACGAGGTTATCAACACAAACATTTAACATTCTGACGAGGTTATCAACACAAACATTTAACATTATGACGAGGTTATCAACACAAACATTTAACTTTCTGACGAGGTTATCAACACAAACATTTAACATTATGACGAGGTTATCAACACAAACATTTAACATTCTGACGAGGTTATCAACACAAACATTTAACATTATGACGAGGTTATCAACACAAACATTTAACTTTCTGACGAGGTTATCAACACAAACATTTAACATTATGACGAGGTTATCAACACAAACATTTAACATTCTGACGAGGTTATCAACACAAACATTTAACATTATGACGAGGTTATCAACACAAACAGTTTACTTTCTGACGAGGTTATCAACACAAACGTACTCTCTGACGAGGTTATCAACACAAACATTTAACTTTCTGACGAGGTTATCAACACAAACATTTAACATTATGACGAGGTTATCAACACAAACATTTAACTTTCTGACGAGGTTATCAACACAAACATTTAACTTTCTGACGAGGTTATCAACACAAACATACTTTCTGACGAAGTTATCAACACAAACATTTAAAATTCTGACGAGGTTATCAACACAAACAGTTTACTTTCTGACAAGGTTATCAACACAAACATACTTTCTGACAAGGTTATCAACACAAACATTATACTTTCTGACGAGGTTATCAACGCAAACATTTAACTTTCTGACGAGGTTATCAACACAAACATACTTTCTGACGAGGTTATCAACACAAACATACTTTCTGACGAGGTTATCAACACAAACATTATACTTTCTGACGAGGTTATCAACACAAACATTATACTTTCTGACGAGGTTATCAACACAAACATTTTACTTTCTGACGAGGTTATCAACACAAACATACTTTCTGACGAGGTTATCAACACAAACAGATTTTCTGACGAGGTTATCAACACAAACATTTTACTTTCTGACGAGGTTATCAACACAAACATTTACTTTCTGACGAGGTTATCAACACAAACATGTAACTTTCTGACGAGGTTATCAACACAAACATTTTCGTGGTGAGAATTAAGCACCAGTTGGCAGTCCCGACACTTTTGAATACGTCGCTTTGCTAATATGTATGTTTAAAAAGTATATGTTTTGCCTCACGTATGTTCGGCGATGATGGCGATATATATGCAATGTATATAATGTGGTTCTGGTAACTGTTTAGTTTTTAATGTTATAATACTCCAACAGTATTCGCGGCATTCATATATGATGCTGGTAAATAAGAGTATACCGTGCTGTAGTATTGTAATATAACTTACGTTGTAAATACAGTTGTGATTACAACTGTATTTACAACTGGGCGAGTGAGGTAAGAATTGCATAACAAAAGTAAATGTAAGAAAATGTGAATTATCAGTGGACAATTACGTAATGTTACATTTCTGTGAATGATCAGATATTGCGAATTGTGAGATAGCCTCAATGACTGTGGCCTGCAATTTAAATTGGTGCGTTATAGTGCTGTACTCTATATATTGCCTTTATAATGCGTTACGCCTATGGCCAAATCAAAAGCTAAGCAGGTTTTTGAGCCTGGCTATTACTTGTATGGTTATCACCATCCACAACAGGTGCTACAGGCAGTGGCTGCTGGACTACTTTGTGGGCAGCAGAGAGGGTAGTGCAGCAAAATCCATTGTGCTGTACTTCTATGCGCCCCAAGCCCATGGCTCCCTGTCTTCTCCGAACCACACTGATGAGCGTGTGGGTGAAGTATGGTCAAAATAACCCCCCACCCGGCTTAAATTACGCTGCCAAGCTTGGCAGTGTTCATTAGGACGCTGTCTTTCCGACAGCTCTGTTCTTCACCTGAGGACGGCTGCTTGCGTTGTGGCCGAAACGTCGTGAGAATTTGTATTATTTCCCTTCTACGTGACTTTACCGAAAGAACCAGGAATATGAATCCCACAACTTTCATGGTGTTTGAGGCCCTCATCCAGCAGTGGATTGACACGGGGGCTTGTACACGTTACATAGATATTATACATGACGCCATTTGCAGGCGCAAAATATTATCACCGCTTGTCGACTCCGTAGATTCATAAATCATAACCTTGACAGTGGAAGGACGGAGGGTTGTGAATTGCTCCATCTCATGCCTCCCTGCCCATCTGTTCCCCTGATCGGACCCACAGATGGAGGAACCGGAGCAGAGGTTCTTCCACCTCCTCAACCCCCTGCGGGATCTGACGCGCAACTGGGAGGTGGACGTGGCGGCACACTTGGAGGAGTACCTCGAGGAGGTGCGGGCGAAATGGGTTGACGTCCTCGCCGTTGTCACCTTCTGGACATAGTTGCTGCTGCGAAGAGCGAGATTGTAACCGTTGACTTCGTCGTCGTATTGATTGTTTTCGTCGTTATTGACATCATCGGCCTGTTTCTCAAGATCGTGGTTTATCATCATCTCGGTGGTCATCTTTGTCGCCTTCATAATCGTGATTGTCATCCCGTTGGCTCTCCTCGTCACCTTGATTTTCAACATAACATAAAATAATCGCACTAATGATATTTTTGTGTTATGTATTATCTAGTTTTTTTATATCAAACTAGGACCCATAACTTCAAGAGAGGATCCCTCCCTAAAAGCATCTGGCAGTTAAGCATTGGTTTAGAGCCGACCTTCTGATGAGACACTACTGTATATTGAAACCTGTCCAAAGTTTGCTTGCATTTAACCAATCCTGCAATTATGCACACCCAAAAGGCCTTGTGTATGTATGTGGTTGGCAGCTAGTGTAAAAAAACATTATATAGAAGGACAGATATATGGAGACATGGTTTGATTATTTTATTTGTGACTTCATTTTAAAGACCATGGCCATTCTTGTCATCATCATGCTTAGCAGCAACAGCGTTGCCATTAATTTTAACGCCCTGATGATGTTAAAAGATCATCGTAA